AAAAGTTAGGGCAGGATTCAAGCCTGCAATCTTCTGATTCGTAGTCAGGACTCAGACGCGTAACGCGATACCAATTTCGCCATCCAGGATCCTTCTTGTTTATATGCTTTTATTAAAGGATCATCAATGATCATCTGTGATTATTGTAAATTTCTATACAATTTCTTTGCTTCGATCTATTTAAAAAAGAAACAATTGGTCAAAAATTTGTTAAAGGTATTCAGTGTTCATCATTATAAAGCTGCTTTGAAAATATTATCATGTTGTTATAATCATGGATCTAATATACATCTTTATCAATAGAATGCTTTTACAAATTGCTTATTCTATTGACATTAATTTTGATCAAATACTTATATTAACGTAGAGATATATAGATCAAATGAACACAGATTAATTAATCAAGCGCTCTAAGCTATTCATGGAGACACATCATCTAATATTTAACCCTTATTCTACTAGTGAGTGCTTTAATATAGATCTATATATTGCTTAAAGATCTTCAATTGATATATCAACATGTACGAGGGGTAAAAGGGAAAATATAAACTAGCCGCCATGAGGTACGTAATGTAAAATCTTAAAATATATAAAAAGACGTCAATTTTCCCTTTTTTGATTCGATTTCGGTATCAACTTTCAATGAAATCCAGAATTTGAGTTTAGTTACATGATAATAACAAATTACTGATGAAGAAAAAAAAGGTTAAAGTTAATATTGGTATTACATCATTTGCAATTATTGTAAAAATTGATTTGTTGTTGTTTGGTCAATTTCATAACAATATTTTAATACATTATTCCAATTAATTACTATATATTCCATATTATAATGATTACTATCATAATCATTTTATGGAATATTCAGTTCAATATACAATTACTCTTTGGGAATCATGAATTGTGATTCTTCTATTGAGATATATTTTTTAAATCATTATAATACAACTTTGACGTAGTTATATAGCTTTAATATAATTAGCCGCTGAAAACAAATTCAATCAATTGTGTTTGTACTAATTTATCTTTTATATAATGAAGTTGATGATCTATGAGACTTTTCAATCACATAATTACATGAACAATTAACATTTAAAGACTTTGATAACTGTTTATGCGGTGGACAAGTACATATAATTGATATTAATTAACAATTGTTTTGATCTTTTGTTTAAATGAATTATAGTTTTATCAATTGTGAAATTAGCCGCTATATATACCAACGATGAAAGATATTTAATGAATTAATTATATGATTACCACTACAATTTTAATTTGAAAATGGTTAAATAATTGTGTATTCTGATATATATAGATATCAATAACAATTATTAAATGGTATATTTATGAATATGATTCAATGGATCAACCTATTGATATAATCAAATATCTCAATTGATTACAATTGAATATCAATCATCAATGAATGTGAAGCTTTAGAGCAAAGGGTTCATAAATCCTCTTTAACCAATAGAACAAATGGTTCATAAATCCTCTTTAACCAATAGAACAAAGGGTTCATAAATTCGCTTTAACAAACAGACTTATGGTGACATCCATGAAGGCTTCCGGTTATTAAAATGTTATTTGTTATTGAAAAATATTGAATGAATTAATGTTTAAAAAATGGGAAATTTGAAGTTTGTGTTTGAACCCTTTTAATAGAACTTAGCCCGGGTAAATATTTTGAATTCCGCGAATTGGATCTATATTTTCAAAAGGTAATATGACAGATTATAATTATTTTGAAACTTAAGGTACAGTATTATTAAACTATTATAAGTTATTGATTGTGTGTGTGTGCTTTTGTTAGAGGTTAATCTTGAATAATTACTGGGTGCTTATTACATTAGATCATTTTATATCAAATCATTAGAGAGAAATCAAATAATCAATCGTTTCTTGATCATTACTTGTGAAAGAGATATCTTAACAGCAATCTAATATTAGATTATCAATTTGAAGGGAAACAAGATACAATTATTAAACTAGGTGAAGGTTTATATTTAGAACTACTAGCTATATTATATTAGAGTGTCATAATTCTTTTTGATCCACATTATTCAATTCATTTCAATTTAATTTAAAATAACTTTTATTCAAAGTGTCGTTATCATCAATAAAGAAGCTTAATTCAAAGCTTGGAAACATTATGAATTCAAATAATAATAATAATCAAGATGAATCAACTAATAATACAATTACAAATAATAAAGAATATAAATTATCATATAAAGTTGGTGTTGCAGAAGATATAAATAAAATGTATAGACCAACAATGGAAGATGTTCATACTTATGTTGAAAATTTTGTTGAAAGATTAGATTGGGGTTATTTTGCAATCTTCGATGGTCATGCAGGTAAAGAAGCTGCTAAATGGTGTGGACAAAATTTACATTCAATTATTGAAAAAAAAATTATTGAAAATGAAAATGAAGATGTTCGTGATATCTTGAATCAAGGGTTTTTAGAAGCTGATGAACAAATTGTTAAAAATTTAAAAGGTTCAAGTGGATGTACTGCTGCTGTTGCAGTTATAAGATGGGAATTACCAGAAGAAGATCAATCACAAGATCAATCACAAATTCAACCTCAACCCCAAGATCAACAACAAGAAATTGATTTAAGTAAACATAAAAGAATGTTATATACTGCAAATGTTGGAGATTCAAGAATTATATTATTTAGAAATAAAAAGGCAATACGATTAACTTATGATCATAAAGCATCAGATCAATATGAAATTAATAGAATTGAAAAAAATGGTGGTGTAATAATGAAATCAAGAGTTAATGGTATGTTAGCAGTTACAAGATCATTAGGTGATGTTTTTTTTAAAGATTTAGTTATTGGTAATCCATATACAACAAGTGTTGAATTAAATTCAGAAACTGATGATTTTATAATTATTGCATGTGATGGACTTTGGGATGTTATTAGTGATCAACAAGCTTGTGAATTGATTCAGAATTGTGTGGATGATCCTACAAAAGCTGCTAAAAAATTGGTTAAATATGCATTAAATAAATTGACTGCTGATAATATAACAGTTATGGTTATTTCATTGAAATAAAATTGAACAAAAAATTAAACAATGAACTTTTTTAATGTTTTTAATGAATTTTTACACTGTTTTTGTCCTTATTTTGATTTCCACTATTCACCTTCCTTTATATAATGTTTTTCAAATATATTGTTTCTTAATATCAACCCATAGTAGATAATCCTTATATATTCAGCATTGAATCAATTTCATCAAATATATTATTCTCAAATTCCATTCCATTATTCCCCATATTATCATTACCATTATTATCATTATTAAAATCTTGAAAATTTAAATTTGAATTTTCTCCATCATTACCTTGAACATCACCAATACTTCCACCACCATATGGATCATTTTCCATTAATAAATCTTGAATATTATCATTAAATTCTCCATTTAAATTTTGATCATTACCATCTGGAACTGTTGATAAAAACATATTTATATCATCCAGAATATTTTCGTCATTTTCATTATTATTGAAATTATTATTTAAATCTGTGGGTTGTTGCTGTTGTTCTTGTGGTTGTGATTGTGATTGTTGTTGTGGTATTGGTTCTATTTGTTTCTCTTGTGTATCTGTGGTATTATTATTATTTAATTTTGCTTGTTCTTTTTCTAATTTTGTTTGTTTTAATTTCCTATCAAATAATGAAATATCATTTAATTGTATAAGTATATCATCTAAATTTTTATCAAATTGTTTAATTGAATCATTTAATTTATTTGATTTTTTATTATTATTGGGTAGTACTAAATTTGTTGTTTTATCTGAAACTAATTCATCAAATAATGTACCAACGTTTAATAAGATCTCGTTGAATGATAAGCTGAGATTGTCTATTTGATTTGACATATTGTATTACCACTATAAATTCTCTTTTACCACCAAATAATAACCAATAAATCCAATGAATTAAGACAAGTTCTCATTCATTTAATACTCATCAATATTATAATCATTATAATGTCGCGAAAACCCATGCACCACAACTGTTTTCACATTTATGCATTTTTTTATTTTCACCAAATTCGCGAATCGCGAAACCACACCCAATGAAATGTTTTTCAACAATTTTGGAAATTAAAATGGAAATGGAAACCCCCTTTGTATACAAAAGATATCAATTCAATTCAATTCTTATTTCAATTGTTTGTCAAAAAATGTTCAGATCAACTGCATTCAAATCATTAGCTCGTCAATCTCAATTCATCTCCAGAAGAACCTATGCTGATGCTGCTTCTGCTGATGTTTTGAAATTATCTTTAGCTTTACCACATGCTACTTTATTTTCTTCAGAACAAGTTACTCAAGTTAATGTTCCAGGTGCTAATGGTGATTTTGGTATCTTAGCTAACCACGTTCCAATCATTGAACAATTAAGACCAGGTTTAATTTCAATTACTGAAACTTCAGGTCAAACTAAAGAATTTTTCGTTAGTGGTGGTTTTGCTACTGTTCAACCAGGTTCAACTTTATCAATCACTGCTATTGAAGCTTTTGAACCTTCTGCTTTCTCTGCTGAAGCTGTTAAAACTCAATTAGCTGAAGCTCAAAAGAATGTTAACAATAGTGATGAAGCAATTGCTGCTACTGCTGCTATTCAAGTTGAAGTTTTAGAAGCTTTACAATCTGTTGCTAAATAAATTTAAATCATCATATTTAACTATTAGCATTCTCACAATTTTTTAACATATTCATACAACAATTTTATTAAAGTTATAAATATAAATAGAGATTTTTATTTGAAATTTTTGATAAATTTCTTAATAATTATCAAAAAAAACATAAAATTTTAATATTATATATCAAAATAAAACAGAAAAAAACAATTTTACAAAAAAAAAATGGAATAATTAGAATCATTAATTAATTCCAATATGATTTACACGTATATGAAACAAAAAAATAAATCCACAAATGGAATATATTCATTTAATGAAAAAAAAACCAAATTTTGATTAGATATATTAAATTTGTAGTAAAGACCACGAATTATTTATAATCAACTCAATCCGTAAAACAAAACAATTCTTCAATTTCCATTCATAAACAAACACAAAACTAGGCTTACAATTCGTCATAAAGTACTGAATTCAATTGATCTCAGTTTTTAAAAAAATTCCTTTAGATCGCGATCTTGTAAAGATCTTGAAAATTTCACCCAAACCCAGCATAATCAAAACCATAAAAACATAAACCCCTCATAACAACACAAAACCCCATAAACCTATACCATTATTTACATCACCCAATCCCAAAAATTCAGCTCTTTCCAATTGACTAAAAAAAAACAAAAATTTCCTTCTAAAAATCCGAAAAAATAGCAAAAAAAGAAGCTTGCCATCGCCTGGAATCGAACCTGGGTCTGATCGGCCACAACGATCTGTACTAACCACTATACTACGATGGCTTCTTGTTGAATTTGTATGATGTGCTGATATCCGCGTTGGGAGGATTGACCCTCGGAATTTGAATTTTCCGGTGGAGCTGAATTATTAAATATTAATTTATTTAAAACAATTTGTATGGTGAGGAGATTGTTTTAAAGCGAATATAGGGATTTTGAAAGATTAGGATTATTATGGTATAGTTTTTTAGGCTTAAAAAGTTGTTTTAATTTTTGATTTTCTGAATTTTCTTAAATGATTTATTTTAAAAGTAAAAATAAAATTTATTAGATTGACATTTTCAAAAAATTGAAAAATTCCAAAAAAAAACTTCAAATTATGATAATTTTAATTCAGAGCTATAAATTCAACACTAAAATAATCATATTAGAGTAATAATATAACAATCTTCCACTACAAAAATATGTAATTAATTTTATTTTCTATTAAATTAAAATTAATCCGGATTTCCAGAAACCTCGGAAATAAACAACAGATAAACTATATGCGTCAAAATTTCAATCATTATATGGGGTAAAAACGCCAAAACACCAATAAACCTTTTGAAAGCCATTAAATAAATAAATAAATAGTTAATCTTAATTATCTTCATCAAAATCAATATCTTTAATAAAAGTTTGTAATTGAATATCTTTAATTTTTTTATTATATTCATCTTCTAAATTTTTTAAATTGGTTTCAAAATTTTCAATTAGTAAAGCTTTTTTATCATTGAATTCTTTTAATAAAAGTTGTATCAATGGATCATTTGAATCTTGATTATTTTGTATTATTGTAGATGGGATTAAAGTTGATGAAGATGCTGAAATTGATGGGAAATTTGATGATGTAGATTGATATAAAGGGGATGATAATGGTTCATTAATGACTGATGAAGTTGAAGTTGTTATTGGTGATGATAATAAAGAAGGATGCAGTTGTTGTTGTTGATGTGAGGATGATGAAGATGATGTCTTTGGAGGTCTCCAACCATTATTTATTCTATTTTGTTGTGCAACTTTTTCTTTATAATCCATATACCAAGGTCTAACTTTTGGATTATTTAAAATTTTTTTAACATATTGAACATCATCAACAGATTCATTAAAATGTTGATTGAAAGCATTGAGTAGGTCTTGATCTTTACGTTTCTTATTTGATTCTTTCGTCGGTATCTCTAATGACATCTTGATTTGAATACTAAGTTGTAATTGAATGGTCATATCACTTTAATTAAAGTCAAGTGATTAAAATTGAGCATAATACATAAGAAACAATAAAACGGATTCGCGCACGATTTAATTACCGGTGTTCTAGAATTACTTAAGAAATAAGTGATTGATTGTACAATGTATAGTACTGTGATTATTATTATGATCATTATTATGGTCATTACATTGTAACTTTAACTATTGTTTCATCAATTGAATACTTTTGATCATTGGCTATTATTCCCTTGATTATCACCGGTAACTGGTAGGCGATGTCGGGCTTATAGATAAGAAGTTCCAACGTTCAACAACAACTAATCAAGAAGGACAAACATCAACAACAACAGACCAACAACAATCAGTAACGGATCAAATAGTAACAATAGTAACAATAACAACTATTCAATCAATGATCAACATCTTTTGTACCTCATCAAACAATAATTGTATTATCAGCGCACCATCCTTCCCAAAAGAGCAGCTCAGCGCACCATGCACAGAGTTTCCCCTTTTGGCGCTGTGATAAGTGGGTTTTCCTTCTGGTTTGAGATAAGATATAAGCAGAGGAGAACAAAAGACAAAGTGAAAAATCAGACAAAGGACAAGTATTTAAACAACATGGTATCCTCTTAAAAGTCATGTTCCTGTTAAGTCTTTTAATTCATCATCAAAACATTCACTATGGAACGTTTACAACAAATTGCTTCTCAAACTACCGCTTCAGCTCAACCACCTCCATTGGCTAATCATCCTTTGGATCCATTATCAATTCAAGAAATTAAAGCGGTTGTTTCTATTGTTAAGGAAAATTATTCAGGAAAAAACATTTCATTCAATGTTGTTACTTTAAAAGAACCATCAAGAAAATCTTTTATTGAATGGAGAGAAAAAAATGGTCCAAGACCTCCAAGATTAGCATTTTTTGTTATTTTAGAAGCTGGTAAAGCTGGTGTTCAAGAAGGTGTTGTTGATATTGGTAATTTATATTTAACTGGGTTAAAACATGTTCAAGGTGTTCAACCAATCTTAACTGTGGAAGATTTATGTGCTACTGAATCAATCATTAGAAAAGATCCAACAGTTATTGAACAATGTAGATTATCTGGTGTTCCAGCTGATGAAATGCATAAAGTTTATTGTGATCCTTGGACTATTGGTTATGATGAAAGATGGGGTAATTCAAGAAGATTACAACAAGCTATGATGTATTATAGAGCTAATGAAGATGATTCTCAATATTCTCATCCTTTAGATTTTGTTCCAATTGTTGATACTGAAACTCATGAAGTTATTTTCATTGATATTCCATCAATTAGAAGACCTTTATCAAAACAACCTCATTCAAACTTCTATCCTGCTGATGTTGTTAATAAATATGGTTATAGAGATCATAAACCAATTAATGTTACTCAACCAGAAGGTGTTTCATTCAAAATGGAAGGTAATGTTATTGAATGGGAAAATTTCAACTTCCATATTGGTTTCAATTATAGAGAAGGTATTGTTCTTTCAGATATTAAATTTAATGATCATGGTAAGAATAGACCAATTTTCCATAGAATGTCTCTTTCTGAAATGATTGTTCCTTATGGTGATCCAACTTTTAAACATTTTAGAAAACATGCCTTGGATATTGGTGAATATGGTGCTGGTTACATGACTAATCCTTTATCTCTTGGTTGTGATTGTAAAGGTGTTATTCATTATTTAGATGCTCATTTTGCTGAAAGATCTGGTGATCCAATCACTATTAAAAATGCTATTTGTATTCATGAAGAAGATGATGGTATCCTATATAAACATTCAGATTTTAGAGATAATTTTTCAACTTCAATTGTTACAAGAGCTACAAGATTAGTTATTTCTCAAATTTTCACTGCTGCAAATTATGAATATTGTATTTATTGGAATTTCTTACAAGATGGTTCAATTAGATTAGATATTAAATTAACTGGTATATTGAACACTTATGTTGCTAATAAAGGTGAAAAAACTGGTCCTTATGGTACTCAAGTTTATCCACATGTTAATGCTCATAATCATCAACATTTATTCTCTTTAAGAATTGATCCAAGAATTGATGGTGATGGTAATTCTGTTGCTTCTTCAGATGTTGTTTCAGATCCTCATGAATTAGGTTCTTTAGAAAATCCTTATGGTAATGGTTGGTTTGGTAAAAAAACAATTTATAAAACCGTTGCAGAATCTTTAACTCATGCAAATGCTGAAACTTCAAGATCTTGGGATATTTTAAATCCAAATTCAATTAATCCTTATAGTGGTAATCCAGCTTCTTATAAGATTGTTTCAACTCAAACCCCAAGATTATTAGCTAAAGAAAATTCAATTCCTTCCAAGAGAGCACCATGGGCTCGTCATGCAATGAATGTTGTTAAATATGATGAAGATAGATTATATCCATCAGGTGTTTATGTTCCACAAAGTTCAGGTGATGGTCCAATTGGTATTAGAGGTTGGATTGGTGATGGTACTGATAAGATTGAAAATACAGATGTTATTGTTTTCCATACTTTTGGTATTTCTCATGTTCCTGCTCCAGAAGATTTCCCATTAATGCCTGCAGAACCAATTACATTATTAATGAGACCAAGAAATTTCTTTACACAAAATCCTGCATTAGATATTAAACCAAGTTATGCAATGACTACTTCTGGTGCTAAGAAATTAAATGGTGAAACTGATGTTAGTTCTATTTTGGATAAAACTTCTAAATTGGCTTTTTCAAATACTTCAGCTTCTTTTGAAGGTTCTTGTTGTTCTAAGAAATGATGATTATGGGTTGAAAATCTGGTATTTTCTTATATGATTACTCATTCTTTTATATATAATACTATTATGATCTTGTTTAATAATTAATTTACATATGTTTTATTGAAAATTTAATCAGCTCATGTATTTCATATATATTAATATTTATTCCATATATATAACTTATTGATTACTCAGATCATTATAAAAATGAGGATAATATTTATCTGAAAAAGTTAACCTTTTACCAGATTCATAAGTTCCTGCCCAACTATGATCAACATGAATACCAATACATTTTTTAGGATCATCATAACATTCATCAGCTTTCAATGTAGCAAACCATGAAACAACTTTACGTTTAGTACATTTAGAAGCTGACTTTGGTGGTAAGGTATATGTATGACCATTACCATCTTTACAATCATGATGACTATCCCAAACAATATACTTCAAGCCTGTAAAGACATTTGGATTATTAACATGAAATGCTTCAAATGGAACATCATGATTATCATAACAAACATCTGTTGTAGAATCAAATTGCATAAATGCTTTACAATCATCATTTTTTGTATCTGAAACTTTCATTTCATAATAATTTGAATATTTTTGTCTTTTAGTTAAGTTTAAACTTGATTTTTGATCATTAATGAAATTTGGTTTACCACAATTTGAAAATAATTCAGAACCATTTTGAATTTGTGAAATATGTGTAGCATTTATCATTGTTTCATTTTGATCCCCGTTGATAATATAATGAATCAATGTTGAATTTGCATACTCATCAAGACATCTATCGAAAACATAAGTTGAATGGTTAGAATCTTTAGCATTGATATTGAAAAACAAAATATCATCTGAATCTAAACCAACAGTTGTATTTGAAGTAGGTTCATTTGAATTTAAACATCTAACAAGGTTGAGATACTGGTAAGCATCTGTTTGATTTGATTCAACAATATCCCAAGCGAAAGCACCAATAGTTAAGCTTGACAATAAGACAAATTTGAAGAAACTCATTATTGTAATCTTGATGAAGAACTTGATGATATTTTAATTGATTTTGTGGGTTACATTGTTAATATGGTGAAATCAAGCTATATTTATACTTCAAAGTTTGTACAGCGCTTCTAGATAATTTTGAAACTCCTAAGGATAGTGATAATTGAAGTTGTGTATTCATTTGAGTAGCTCTTGGGTAAACTCACAGAAAAATTTGAAGATCTTTGGTTTTCAAAGTACCCAAGATGCGATTCTTCAGAGTGATGTTTATGAATTGTTCAAGTAATCGGGTATAATACATTGTAGATCTTTATCTACTTTTATGGGTTTGAAAAGAAACCAAGGGCACAAGGCACTAGTCATAATGACATAATTCTTGAGTGATATGTTATGAAAAGTTGATGATTCGAATACGAATTATCTACTCAATTAGATAAATAAGCTTTGAACTTTGAGTATACAGATCTGAAAGTCTTGAAATTATAAGTGCTAGAATAAAGGGGTCCATAGGGGTCCAGCTTGGTATAGGGTAGATATAGCGAAATAGCATAGGACCACACGTTGGTGATCGATTATGATTAGAGCTCTGTAGTACAAATGTATGTTATGTGATGAGAATCTTGATTACTTTGTTCCGATTACAAATTTGATACACGATTAGATTTATGTAGATCGGATATGTTTGGGTGTTGTGTTGTTTAGTACTTACTACGTATGATAAATTATAATAGTATAATGCCTTAAAACAGCATCCCTCAATTATATTGAATCAGCAAATATTAAAATAATGTCGTGATAAAGATAGCCGTGCTAAGGATTTGTTCGATTTGGAACTTCGAGCTTTATGGACTATAGATTTTCTGGAGTCCTCTTATATCCATATACACTCTGTTATTAATCTGTTACATCGTCCATGATTCGTATCTACATGGTTATCGCATTACACTACCAGTGGTCCTAGGTCTGAAGAAGTTGCAACCAGTCAACTTTGATAATACGTTTTATTGAAAAAAATCCATAAGATTGTATAGTGTACATATTATAGAAGTCCTCCATATAGCGTCTTATGGTCCATTATAAAAGTGAGGATAATAAGGATGTGAATATGTCATTCTTTCCCCAGATTTATAAGTTCCTTGCCAACTATGATCAACATGAACACCAGTACATTTTTTAGGATGTTCATAACATTCATCAACAGATAACGTAGCAAACCATGAATAAACTTCACGCTTAGTACATAAAGAAGTTGAACCTGGTGGTATACTATATGTGTGACCATTACCATCTTTACAATCATGATGACTATCCCAAATAACGTATTTTAAACCTGCATTATGATTTGGATTTTTAAGATGGAATGCTTTGAATGAAGGTGCATCATGGTTATCATAGCAGACATCAGTTAAAGAATCAAATTGTTCATATTCCTTACAGTTAGTGGTACCTGAAACTTTCATTTCATAATAATTTGAATATTTTTGTCTTTTAGTTAAGTTTAAGCTTTTTGATTCATCATCATCAGTTATGAAATTTGGTTTACCACAACTTGAAAATAATTCTGAACCATTTTGAATTTGTGAAATATGAGTAGCATTAATCATTGTTTCATTTTGATCCCCGTTGATAATATAATGAATCATTGTTGAATTTGCATTTTGATTCAAACATCTATCGAAAACATAAGTTGAATGCTCAGCATCTTGTGCTTTAATATTGAAAAATAAGATGCCATCCGAATCCAAACCAACAGTTGTATTTGAAGTAGGTTCATTTGCATTTAAACATCTAACAAGGTTGATATATTGGTAAGCAGTTGTTTGGTTTGAATCAACAATATCCCAAGCGAGAGCACCACTAATTGTTAACCCCAAAAATAAGACCACCGTAAAGAAAATCATCTTTAAATACCAGGCGTTATTGTTGTGATATATTTTGTCTACCCCAAATCATCATTAAAATGGTGACTAAAGCTCATATTTATAGTTCTTTGGGTATACTGTGAAACTCTTGATTTGATTGCTTTTAAAGCCACTTAGATGAATGTCAACGTTTAATAATCGAATCACACGTTTCTATTGTACATGAGACTTGCAAGCAATCGGATTGAATATATTGTAGATCGAACCTAATCGTTCAAAAAAAAAGGTTTTTTGGTTTAGTTTATCAGTTGATCAAAAGAGTACTAGTTGAGTTTTTCCGATGACTAAAAAATCGTTGAAAAATTGACCATAATGAAAATCTCCATGTATTTCCATCACCAATTTGACCCAAACATAACTAGATCAATTTGAGGCCTATTACTATCCACAAGATACAACATCATAGAAAATTCAAATTCACAAGGATATCCATTTGAATGTCTTAATCGTTTTGAAATTGTGGATCAGAGCAAATTATAGAGTATAGAGTTGAAGATGAAGATATAGAAAATACAAAGTTACAAAACTAAATATCTTCAAAATTTGACATACATTATATTATATCTGGTTTATTATAAAATTATTCAATACTGATATCTAATAAAAAAACCACATAAATGTATACTTTATGGCTTATGGATAATGACCAAAGTGTTTACCAACACCATGGATTGTTTGTCCTGGGTGATACTTACCATCCCAATGTTCAAGATAAGTATTCATACAGGCTTTTTGCATATTATAACATTCATCCTCGAATAAAGTACCCCACCAGGAAAATATTGTCTTCTTGATACAACCTGTATAAGAACCAGGTGTAATAGTGTAACTCTCGTAATCTCCTTTGTTACAACTGTGATGAGGCCAAACGGTTAATCTTAAAGAGCCAGCATTAGGATTGATTCCGTTGAACGAATGTAATGATACTAATTGATCATCTTGACAGACATCTGTAACTGTATCGATCTGCTCATTATTAATACAACTTGTGTCTTTGTCTTCTGATACCAGCATTGAATAATAGTTTGAATATTTTTGACGTTTAGTTAAATTATTTTTTGCAACATCATTAATTGGAATTGGGTTTCTGGAAATTCCAAACATTTCATGACCATCTTGGACTTTTGAAACATGAGTAGCATTTGTAAATGTTTCATTTTGACTTCCATTAATAACAAAATGAGTTAATGTTGAATTTGCATTTTCATTCCAACATCTATTGTAAACATAATCTGAGTGATTGGTATCTGATGTGATGATGTTGAAAGACAAGATACCGTTTGAGTCTAAACCAACAGTTGTGTTTGAAGTTGGTTCATTAGCAGCTAAACACCTAACAAGATTGAGATATTGATGATCTTCTGTTTGATTGGAGTGAACAATATCCCAAGCAAAGATACCTAAAGTGAATTTTAACAATACAACCAAAGTTAAGCAGTTCATATTTCTTAATTCTCTTAAGTATCAATTAGTGATGATGATGATTTCATCAGAAACAACAAACTATCAGAAATATGGGAAAATTGATTGATATTTATAGTAATTTTTTTATTATATGATATTTTAGATAATCATTTAAAGCAAAATTGTTATAGAGTCATTTGAGCTGAACCAAAACAGTACTATTACTATATATAGTAACTATTAATACGAGAACCTGAAGCTGTACTTCTGGAAAAATTGTGTGAACACTGAATAGTACACACTGTATGACGTACCCTCTTCTATTTGGCGATCGTATATAGCCTTTCTATGGTATATCTTTGCTAGACATACATGAATCCTGATATTGATGGTATAGCAAGTCTATAGAAACTTTTCAAAGTGTGTTTAATGTTTCAAAAAGGGCTCGACATATTGGAAGAAACGAACATTGAACCTGGATAAAAATTCATTCAACAACCATAATTGTGTCAAAACGTCCCTTTGATCTTGGCTCTTGATTATCTTGGCTTTAATTGAATCTTGATTTTTTGATCATCTGTAGAATCTAGATGTTGATCTTTCAGAATTATATGCTTGATTACACGAAGAGAATATTTTGCGAAAAGTCTTGCGATTATATAAAGAGCATATTGATATGCGATTTATGATCTGAACGCAATCTGAACGTATTAGTATAACAATCCAGGAGAATAATTTTCACTGCTCAGTAAAGAAGCATAAGTTTGTTTTGAAAATCACAACGACTTCAAAGCTCAGATCCTCAGATCCTTGATTTTTCCGATGACTAAACATTAACATGGTGGATTTTTCAAATTCAATTATCGAATTGTATTTATTTACTAAAGTGATATTCCACATTGAAACGTAGTTTTATTCTAATTCAAATAGTGATTTCAATGATATAGCACATACCATTGGGTTCTGGTTTTGAATCATCACAATCATGAGTTTTGAAATAGTTCCAATCACTAATAATCAACATCAATACATCAATCTTATTAGATGTTTAGCTGCTCATGAAGAAACTTCAAATTGTACAATTGGTTTAGACTCAGATGGAATATTGACTCTTAATTTCATAACTAATGAAATTGACCAAACTGATGCTGTTTTCTACAGATGTTATCTCAAGCATGCAACCAATGTTTTAACTCACCATGTCATGAATGATCAGAAAAAAACCATTCTTGAACCAGTTCCAATTCAACAAGTCCTAGAAGGCCATCCAATGTTTGACGAGTGTCGGAAACCAAGACCAATTTGAATCTTGATGGGCTTGGAAACTGATATAAAGTCGTTGATTGTTTATTCTCTTAATGGTGTCCCATAAGTATGTTGAGGTCAGTCACAAATAACAGTGCTAATATTGTCCTTCCTGGTCAACCGTTTCTTGATCCAGTGAGAAAATTTTGATCGAATTCAATGTATAGGTATATAGAAGATTAAGCATAAAAATTTGAATTGAAAGAATATTTTGTAAAGTGCTGGTATATACTGTCACGTACCAACAAACTACTACACAGGCGTCTAAGGTAAAACAAAAAACTCAATGTATTTCGATAACGAGTAAGGACCAGTTGTTGTTTTTCATACTCAAAAGTGATTGTAAAATTATTAAAAATTCTTTCTTCCAACTTTCAGTCAGTGAGGCTTAAGATAAACTATAGCTATTTTTTGTTATTGAAGTAATTGATTATCACCATCATGAATTATGGAATAGCTTCAACCACTGATGATCAAAATAAATACATAAATTTTGTTAGATGTCTAGCTTCACATAAAGAAACTGCAAATTGCACAGTTGGATTAGACTTGAATGAAATCTTGACTTTCAACTTCATCACTAGTGAAGAATCAAAAACTACTGCTGTTTTCTTTAGGTGCTATAAGAGACATGCTAATACCATTCTAACTTGCCATGTCTTCAATGACCAGAGAGGAACCATTCTTGAACCCGTTCCATTATTTCATGTTATCGATGGACATCCAATGTTTGATGAGTGTGTGAGACCAGAACTAATAGATAAATTTCCTTTGATGAAAAATCTAGATTCTTCACTCTCTTAATGATGACCCATATTATGTTGAAATCAGTCAAAATCAAAAGTGCTAATATTGGCCTTACTGGTAAACTGTTGCTTGATTTTAATGAGAAATTTTTGATCTCATTCAATGTATCGGTATATAGAAGATTAAGCATACAAAGCTGAAGTTATACTACACAAGTGTCTAAGTAAAACAAAAATCTCAATGTATTCTGATAACGGATTTGATCAGAAAACATAACTAGTATTTATGTAATAAGTAGTAAGCTACTGGAGTGCAATAAAAAAGCAGGCCATGCACATTGTAAGATGTTGACATACTTTACACCCACATTATGTTCAGTATACTACTTTAGTTAATAAGTATCAAATTATTTATTTCTAGGACAATAATGTATAGTGGCTTAACAGTTTATATTTTTTAGCTATTTCATCTTTTAGCTCAGTTGGGATTGGTTTAGCACAATTTAAAAATAAGTCTGAACCATTTTGAACATTGGAAATATGAGTTGCATTAATCATTGTTCTATTTCGACTTCCATTCTTACCACATACAGCTAGTATTGATTCTGCATATTCTCTCCGACATCTTCTGAAAACATAAGTTGAGTGATCAGGATTTGTTGTATTGATATTGAAGAATAAGAAACCACTTGGATCTAAACCAACCGTTGTGTTTGAAGAAGGCGCATTTGCAGTTAAACATCTAGCAAAATTTAAATATTGATAATATCCTGTTTGATTGGAGAATACAACATTCCAACAAGAAACTCCAAGTGTAAGATCAAACAGAAACAGTAGTGTGAAGTAGTTCATATTCAATTTGCCTTTTTGAAGTTGAAATTAATAATTGTGTCAAATTATCTCCTTAGTCTTGGCTTTTGGTTTTGCAGTACAAGCTGTATAAAAAAAGAAGGATAGATATCCACCTTCAAACCTCTTGGGCCAGTGACAGGTGACAATCTTGCGATTATATAGAGAGTATGATATGAGATTTACAATTTGGAAATGACTCAACAATTAAGGACGTTTTTTTTACTATACTTAATTTGAAAATCATTATGAATTACAATTCGTGTGATGACTAACATTATATGGGTAGTTATTTACAAATCTATATACCCAGCTGTTATTTATTTATATAAATAGTAACTTCCCATATCCAAAAGCATCGATTCACCCAAGTAGTAGTTTTAATTAGTGCACTTAGTTTCTAGTTTTGAATTATCACAACCATGAATACTGGAAGAGCTTCATCCTCTGCGGATCAAAATAGATACATCAATTTTGTCAGATGTTTAGCTTCACACGAAGAAACTGCAAACTGCACAGTAGGACTAGACTTAAATGAAGTATTGACTTTCAACTTCATCACCAGTGAAGAATCAAAAACTACTGCTGTTTTCTTTAGGTGCTATAAGAGACATGCTAATACTATTCTAACTTGCCATGTCTTCAATGACCAGAGAGGAACCATTCTTGAACCCGTTCCATTATTCCATGTTATCGATGGACATCCAATGTTTGATGAGTGTGTGAGACCAAAACCAATAGATAAATATCCTTTGATGAGGAATCTAGATCCTTCCCTTAATGATGACCCATAATAACCGTTATTTAATAAAATTATATGCTAAATTGCCCATTTTTGTAGCTGAAAACTCGTAGTAAAAGCACCACTACATAGAAATCCTTTCTATACTCACTCACACTCTTTAAAGCCTCAAACACTCACTTTAAACCTCCAAAATTAACACTTTGCACTTCTTTTCTTTAATTTTTCATTGTTAATTGAAAAACGCGTTGGCTGACGTCCCGATTCGGAAATTCTTACCCGTGGAAATGGCAGAAACGCGACGGGTTTTTTAAAATGAAACATAAAAAAAAAGAAGGTATTAATCAAATCCACAAAACAACAAACAAGATCAAAATATCAAACTAAAACATTCAGAGAGATCAGGAAGTGGATCATTGCTTTTGTAATATAGATAAACCAACTGCTACATATTTTATATTTGCTACCTTTTTTTTCCTGCTTTCTTTTTGCTTGCTTTGAAGTTGACTTATCCTATTATAAGGGTTTTTTTATATCTCCTTGATATTTAAATCATGTTTTATTCAGAAAACCTTTTATCTAAAGAAGGTCCATTGGCTCAAGTCTGGTTAGCTGCTAATTTGGAAAGAAAGTTATCCAAGAACCAATTTTTACAATCAAATATTATTCAATCTACAAAAGCTATTGCAAATGCATCTTCACAAAATGATGAATCTGAGGCTTTAGCGCTTAGACTTTCAGGTCAATTATTATATGGTGTTGTTAGAATTTACTCAAGAAAAGCCAAGTATTTATTAGATGATGTCTCTGATGCTCTTTTGAAATTGAAATCAGCTTTTAAATCAAGTGCAAATACTGTTACTTTACCTGCAAATGCCACTATTGTTCCATCAGTTAATCAATTAATTTTACAAGATACAATTACTCAATCAGATTTACTTTATCAAGAACCTTTAAATCTTGATGATAATGAGAATTTAAATCCAAGAAATTCAGATTTTTTTGGCCATTCTCAAGCTATAACAAATCAAGATTTTGATGATTCAATTGAAATTCCTAGAAATAAATTTGATGAATTGGATGATTTAGAACCAGGTCAAGATGATTTAGATATTGATTTGAATTTTGAATTAAATGATGAAGTTCAAAAAAATGATCAACAAGAACAACAAAATGATGATTATGATCAAGAATATGAAAAAAATGATGATATTGATTTAGGTTTCGATTTTGATTTTAGTGGTGATAAAAATTATGATCAAGCTGATGAATCTATTGAAGTTGGTAGAGATGCTGGTAATGATCCAAATTTATCAACTTTAGAAGCAAATAATGATGATTTTGATTTAGGTTTTGATTTAGGTGATGAAATCAATAATTTACAAAATGAAGAAATTTCTAAATCTCAAGAATTAATCGATGAAAATGAACAACCTAAAACTCCAACAAAGAAACAAAGAAAACCAAGATCAACAAATTTAGCTGGTTATAAGAAAATTGTGGAAGATTCTTCAATTGAATTACCAATCAATACTTTTAATAATACAAGTGGTATTGTTTCAAATGATGATGAACAAACCCATGAATTAGATTTGAATACTAAAAGAACTTATCTTGACCTATTATTAAATAATAATTATATTCAAAATGATATTGCTGAAAATTTATTACGTTCAAAACGTCAAAAAGTTAATTCACCACCTGCAGATGATGAAGTACCAGAATTAGAACATTCAGAAGAAGAAACAACTACAATTAACAAAGAAACTACAGAACAAGAGAATACTGATTTTGATTTTGATAATGGTATGGATTTTGATTTTGATTTCCATGATGATAAACAACCAGAAGATGATCAATTAGCACCAATTGAAGAGAATGAAGAGGAATTACAACAACAACTTGAAGAACAACAACTTGAAGAAGAAAATCCAATCGATGATTTCAGTTCAAGTTCAAAAGATGGTATTTCTGAATCAACAATTAAAATCTCATCACAATTAAGAGATCAATTATCAGATAATCAATCAAGTTCATTTTCAGAAATTGTTAAAACAAATGTTGAATCAAATGAACCTTTATCAAAATTACCAAAAAGTGAAGCAACAAGAGTTTTCTTTGAATTATTAGTTTTAGGAACTTCAGATTCAATTGAATTAAAACAAAATGAATTATTTGGTGAAATTCAAGTTGATTCAAGACCAAATTTATTTCAAAAATTCTTATAAGTTATTAATTTGACTATTAATTATTGATTTGGTTTTCTTTTAGTTCTTTATGATTGATTTTCTAATATTTTACAGATTGTGTTATACATTTTTTGTTATTTGGTTTAATTTTTTGTTTTATTTTATTTAGTGAAGTTTTTTTTTCAGTGTATAGTTTTGGATTAATTCTGGTAATATAAAGTTTTGGTATACAGTAATTCAATTATTTAAATTAAGAAGTTGTAGACTAGGTTAAAACCGGATACAATATGTCATTTCTAATGAGAACCACCTTTCAATCGAGTAATTACATTGATTTTCTCAGTTTTCGCGACGGCCAGCGTATAAGCTTATATTTAATACCCATGTTTTATACCCAACTGTTTATTATTGAAAATGAGAACTTTATACCAAATTTGGTGTGAAAATTCCATGATTTCTCGGTAAAGAATGATTTTGAAATGATTTCAGAACCTCAATTCAACTTTAATTCTAGTTTTTGCTCGAGAATGAACTCATAATTCTATTCAGTTCACTGCTAAGAAATTGGTACAAGATGTTTAAGTGGTTAAGCTCATTTCTAGATGGTAAATATAAAGAAACTACAACTCAAACCCCAAATAATGATGGAATTCAATTGGATATATCTTTTTATGAGGCTATAGAATATTTCAAAACTTTAACTATTGAAGAATTTGAAGAACAATTTGAAATGTATTGTTTGCCATCTAAAGGTCTTTTAAAAAATTATGGAATTGTTCGTTGTGAATCCAAAAAATTTTGTTCATTAATTATAAATAATAAAGTTTCACCATCTTTCAAAGTGAATCAATTATTTGATATAGTTTGTTTTAATTCATCTGGTTATGAAAGATGCCTACTTTGTTTCAGACCTAAATATCAATCAGATTGGTCTGAAAGAAAAATCAAATTTATGGATCATATAGGTCTTTATCTTAACATCATGATTATTAAAAAGAAAAATATAACATTAGATGATGTTATAGCTGATTTGAATTTTAAAATGAATCATTCAATCAATCAAAGAATAACAATTTTGAATGATCATCGTGGACAAGAACCTTTATACATTATGTACAATGCTGCTTCAGCTATGAACCTTTACCAAAATGAAAACCTTTCTAAAATGATCCGTATGATTAATTTATATAAATCTAGAATTGAAAATCATATTTGGGAAAGTTATACGTTAATAAAAGTTGTTCCTAAACTACATCACCATTGTGCTGCTGCTGGTGATAATGTATTTGATACAAATGATTATTTACAACATGATGAATTAGATTTCAATAGCCCGAATGAGCTTTTTTTTTCATAAATACAGCAGCTGACGGAATTGAATATAGTCATTATAAAAAAATTATCAAACCAATTAATTCAACTGGCTCAATTAATAGGACGTACTATGAATTAAGAAGCCCGAAAGAAATGTTACTTCAAGTTTTGAAAGAAGATTTTCATGATTGGTTTTTTTATATACAAGAGTTACTGATAAACAAACATCTCAATATTGCTGAGAATGTTTATAGAAGACCATCATATTTTAGAGAACCTAATGTTAGGATTCATCCAGACTCAAATATATCTGAATTTGTTCAAGTTGGATATAGATTAGATTTATCAAATGATTGTTCGTCGCCAGATTCATTACCTAGCTATGAGGAGATTCTTGAGCCATGATCCATGAGATAGACGTCATCTTGATCTATTTAATATACTGAAAAAAAAATTTAATACCCATGTTTTATACCCAACTGTTTATTATTTGAAAATGAGAATTTTATACCAAATTCGTTGCGAACTTTTTATATTTCTCGGTAAAGAATCATTTTAAAATGATTTGAAAACTGCACTTCAACTTCTCGGTTTTGTTCCATTATAAGTTTCATTTCAGTTAACTGTTAAGAAATTGGTACAAGATGTTTGAATGGTTAAGCTCATTTATAAATGGTAATCAAGAAACTTCAACTCAAACCCCAAATAATGATGAAATGGAATCTGATATATCTTTTAATGAAGCTATAGAGTATTTCCAAACTTTAACCATTGAAGAATTTGAAGAGCAATTTGAAATGCATTGTTCGCCATGTAAAGGTCTTTTAAAAAATTATGGAATTGTTCGTTGTGAATCCAAAAAATTTTGTTCATTAATTATGAATAATAAACTCACACCATCTTTCAAAGTGGATCAATTATTTGATATAGTTTGTTTCAATTTATCTGGTTATGAAAGATGTCTTCTTTATTTCACACCTAAATTTGAGTCAAATAATTGGTCTGAAAGAAAAATCGAGTTCATGGATTTAATAAGTACTCATTTTAGTACCATGATTTATAAAAAAAAAGATATAACATTAGATGATGTTATAGCTGATTTGAATTTTAAAATGAATCATTCAATGGATCAAAGAATAACAAATACCAATGATCATCGTGAACAAGAACCTTTATACATTATGTTCAATTCTGCTTCAGCAATGAATCTGTATATAAATGAAAACCTTTCTAAAATGATCCATATGATTAATTTATATAAATCCAAAATTGAAAACCATATATGGGAAAGCTATACATTGATAAAAGTTGTGCCTAAAGTACATCATCATACTGCTGTTGATGTTGATGGAAATGGGAATGTATTTAATGCAAATAATTATTTACATCATGATGAATTGTATTTGAAAAATCCAAATGAGGTTTTCTTTCTCATCAATACAGCAGCTGATGGCATTGAAGATAGTCATTATAAAAAAATTATCAAACCAATTAATTCAACTGGTTCATTTATAAGGACTTTCTATGTATTAAGAAGCCCAAAAGACATGTTAATGCAAGTTTTGAAAAAAGATTTTCATGATTGGTTTCTTTATGTACAAGAGTTATTGATAAACAAACATCTCAATATTGTTGAAAATGTTGCTAGAAGACCATCATATTTTAAAGAATCTAGTGTTAGAATTCATCCAGATTCAAATATATCTGACTTTGTTCAAGTTGGATATAGATTAGATTTATCAAATAATTGTTCGTCATCAGATTCATTACCTAGCTATGAGGAGATTCTTGAGTCCTGATCCATGAATTGTATAGACGTCATCATGATCTATTTAATATATACGCCAAATATTGTTTCGTTCTATGGGTGCTAAATTGTTTAAATTGTTGTATAAATATACGTAACGAGAGAGATGTCAATCTCATATAGTACCCAGATAAACAGCAAGGCCGTTGAATATCACTAATCTAATGACAAGTAGCCCAAATCATACTTGTAAGTTGTAGCATAGTATAATATATGTATATATATGATATATATGTGATGACGAAGCCATTACTAATCAAAGATTTGCTAAAATACAAGAGGTGATCCTTCATTTAACAGTACACAAACAAGCAAGCTCCCGGGTGGCGAAATGGTTATCGCGTCTGACTACGAATCAGGAGATTGCAGGTTCAAATCCTGTCCTGGGTATGACTTTGATGGCTCTTATTCATAAACCATCAACTATTTTTTTTCAATTCGATTAACTTATACATAAGTTGAATCATGCAAGATTTTAAGTAGATTTGAATCACGCTTACTCAGCAATTACTAAGCAATATTTAGCTAACTCGGAAAACACCCCATTTTCAAACATCAGAACTCGTCCTTGTTAGCTCAGTTGGTAGAGCGTTCGGCTTTTACAGTCAAACTAGGGAACATTCATTTCTTAGCGGAAGTTAACCGAAATGTCGGGGGTTCGAGCCCCCCATGAGGAGTTCTATTTTTTTTTCTTTTTGCTCCCACAATTATGAATTATATATCAATTTTTTTGGTTATTTGTTAATATCTACTTGATTTTGTTAAGGATGTCTATATTACTATTCTATAATTAATCTATATACTATTTTGTTGAAGTTTAAAGTCCGGTATTTCGTCATCTCCAATGATTAATATATCATTCCAAATAGAACCAAATGAATAACAAACTTCACCACCACCAATACAAATTAATGAATTTTGAAATTTAATTAATTCAAATCCAACAAGCATTGGGAAATTTTCCCAAATTTCATCTGGGATTTTGATACTTGTAATTTCCAAATTTTTTAAGTTAATTTTTATAATTGTATTAAATTGATCATAAAGAATGTAATCACTTACACCACCAAATAATAAGATTTCATCTTCTGATATGAATTGAGCTTTGGCACTATATCTTGATAATAATGGATGTTCGAATAATAATTCTGTCTTGATAGTATTATTATCTTGGTCAATTGTGAATGTATGTAAAGTATTTGTTATACCACCTTCAGAATTTAATCCACCAATAATTATACCTTTAGATCCGTTAAATGCTAATGCTGATGATTTTTTACTTGTAATTGAACCTTGTGTAGTTATTGTTTCCCAATTAGTTCCATTAAATCTTATAAAAGGTTCAGATTCGAAATTCCCACCATAAATATAAGTTTCATTGTTAGTTTGGAAAGTTGAATGCCTTGATCTTGAAGATGGTAATGATTCGATTTCTTTCCATTCATATTGATTATCATTTTTTTGTTCCAAGATCCATGAATCTGATAATTCTTTACCTGGAGCATGTCTACCACCAACTAATAAATATTTTCCCTCGTTGTTATTATTATTAAGTGTATTCAAAGTATGTGTCATTCTTGGTGATGGTATTATGGTTGGATTATTGAAAATTGGTGTATTATCTTTCTTAGAAGCTATAAGTGTTGAATTTAATCTTGAAATTGAAGCACCACCATTTAATAAGATTTCATTATGATCAGGGGAAACTGTAACTGCTGGGAATTTTCTTTCTAAATCTTGATTCTTAGGTATTAATTTGAAATTTTTATTGAAATTTGAATCTTGTTTAATTGGGATTAATTCAGGTTCTTTATCATAAAGACTTTTGGATGAATTTGAAGCATGTAAAATCAAATAATGTTGACAAAAATGAATAAATTCTTCTAATTCATCAAATGCTTCAACTTGATCAATCTGTTTATGTAATGATTTGGGTAATGATCTCCAAAATCCCATTAAATCAATAGCACCAACTGAAGTATAACCAGATTTTTCAAATCTTTCAATTTGTTTTGTTATAGTTGGGTAAGTTTCCACTGATTTTAATGGTGAATTTAGCTTATTAAAATGGAAAAGCATCGTTCTTGCAAAACCTTGATATTGACCAGCTGGTAAAATTTGTTCAAGACATAAGAAATGTGAATCTGGTAAATTTGAAGTTGCACTAATGACTTTATCTGCAAATTCAGGTGCCATGTATGCGATAGAAACTTCTGCAATGTAAATTTTAGTTATTTGATCATCATTTAAATTTAATGCATTCAATTGTTTAAGGAATAATTCAATGTTTTTCAAATCACATGATAATACTGTATAATTTGAAGTTTGTAATTCAACACCTTCAATTGACGATTTAGATTCAGTTTCTTTACCAATTATGTCTTTAATTTCAGAAGAATTATTAATCATTTGTACTTTCATTTTATTTAAATCTGGATAATCAACATCAATAAATGAAACTTTCCCCTCATGAGTTGAATTATCTGGATTTCTGGAATCTAAGAATTGGAAAGCTAATGGATCATAACCAGCACCAAGATTAATTATAGTGATTTTTTTACCTTGATTTAAAGAATTTTGAATAATTTTTAAAGTTGATTGTTTAATAGCTTCCATACGAGTCCAATAACCTCTATTAATAGCAGGAGATCTTCTTGGAACTTTTTTAACAAAATGTTTAAAATATTCTGGAGTTGATATACCAAAATCTTGATCTAGTTTTTGAGTATATAATTTTTCAACAGATCTCTTGGAAACAATTGAATAATCATTTGTACCTTGAATAGTGGTATCTGCAAATTTCTTTCTACGTTCATCTTTTTCCAATTTTCTGCGTTGTTTCTCTGTGAGTTCCACTTTTGGTGGGTTGATGACTTCAGACATTCTTCCAACCTGATATTTCTTTGAATAAACCAAAGTAATCTCCAAGATTTGATTTAATACCCATTGAAATACTTTATATTTAATACCCATTGAAAATAAAATTTATATGCGATGAGGTCACCGGGCCAATTCACCCAGACACCAACTGATAAACAAAATTAAGCGCTGTGGAAATTGAAATGTAAACAATAAAAGGAATTTAAAAAGAATTAAAAGGGAATTAAAGGGAAACTTCACCAGAAATCAACAGAATCAAAGGAGAATTAGAAGGAGACAGCAAGATACCATGGACAAGGATCAGGTCCAAGTCCCCTTAGAAGCCCCTGCACCACCAGTGCCCATACTCCAGAATGCATCCAATAAATCTAGAAAGCTTATACTTCAGAAATACACCATTTATGAGACAAGTACAAGGGTTTATATCGTTGGTAGTAATGGGAGAGAAACAATGTTTAGGGTGCTAGAGATCGATTTGACTACTCCGAAGGAAGAGTTATCAATTGTGGAGGATAATGTGTTTTTCACAAGAAAGGAAATTATGGATGTGCTTTCCAAATTAGAGGAAACTAGTGAAGAAGGACTTATGAAAAGACTTACAGGGTTTGGATTGTTAGGTTTCATACGATTTACTGATTGTTATTATCTATGTGTTGTTACGAAAAGATCTCCCATTGCTATTTTAGGTGGTCATTATATCTATCATATTGATGATACTGAATTGATTCCAATATCAAATAATTATAGGAAACCTGATAATTATAGTGAAGAGGCAAGATTTCTTGCAACTTTTGCAAATTTAGATCTTTCTAAAACTTTTTATTTCAGTTATACTTATGATTTAACAAATACTTTACAAAGAAACATCTTGAGAGAAAAGAGAAAAGCTTATGGATTCCCTAGTAATGGTAAATTCCATGATCAATATAATGAAATGTTTATATGGAATAGTTCCTTATTGAAACCCATAATGCAAACTTATGATAGAATATATGATTGGTTTCAACCTATAATTCATGGTTTCATTGACCAGGCAAATGTTTCTATATTTGATAAAAAAATTTATATAACAGTTATTGCTAGAAGATCTCATCATTTTGCTGGTGCAAGATTTTTGAAAAGAGGTGTTAATAACCAAGGTAATGTTGCAAATGAAGTTGAAACTGAACAAATTGTTTCAGATTTATTAACTACAAGTTTCCATGATAGTAAAATGGGATTTTATAATAATCCAAGGTATACCTCATATGTTCAACATAGAGGTTCAATTCCATTATTTTGGTCTCAAGAAGGTACAAATCTAAAATTAGCTAAACCTCCAATTGAAATTGATATTGTTGATCCATTTTATAGCTCTGCTGCATTACATTTTGATGATTTATTTAAGAGATATGATTGTCCAATATTAATTTTAAATTTAATTAAAGTTAAAGAAAGAAATCCAAGAGAAACCAAGTTATTAAAAGAATTTGAAGAATGTATTAATTATTTGAACAAATTTTTACCAGAGGATAATAAATTGAATTATACAAGTTGGGATATGAGTAGAGCATCAAAATCTGATGGCCAAGATGTTATAGAATTCTTGGAAACATATGCAGATCAAACTTTACAAAAAACTGGTATTTTCCATAATGGTTCAAATTTTAAAGGTACAAATTTACAAGAAGGTATTTGTCGTACAAATTGTATTGATTGTTTAGATCGTACAAATGCTGCACAATTTGTCATTGGTAAAAAAGCATTAGGTTATCAATTATTTGCCTTGGGTATAATTGATGATGTTTTCATTGATTATGATTCAGATGTTGTTAATATATTAACTGAAATGTTTCATGATCATGGTGATACAATTGCATTACAATATGGTGGTTCACATTTAGTTAATACCATGGAAACTTATCGTAAAATTAATCAATGGTCATCACATTCAAGAGATATGATTGAAAGTATCAAAAGATTTTATAGTAATTCATTTATTGATGCACAAAGACAAGAAGCTATAAATTTATTTTTGGGGAATTATGTTTGGGAAAAGGGTAAACCAATGTTATGGGATTTAAATACAGATTATTATTTACATAATATTCAATCATTAACTTCACATAAATTTAAAAGAAGTTATACACATTGGTGGACAGATTCAAATTTAATTAAATTTAATGAATATTATGATTTAAAATTTGATGATAATGATAACGAAGATGAAGAAAGATTAGAACCTTATCAAGGATTTTTCGATAATTATTGGAATGAATATTATGTACCAAGAAAATTAACATTTTTTGAAAAATTATTTGAAATTAATATGAATTCAACATTAAGATACATTTCACCTTCACAAAATTTAGAAGAAGCTTTTAATATATCACCTTTTAAATCTAGAAAACAAACTTCAATTAATTATAAATTGAAAAAATTAGAATTACAAAGACGTAAAAGAGCAAATTTGAAAAATAATGATGATTCAGATGGGAAAAATTTAAATTCTTCTAAAAATCTTGAATTTTTAGTTACACGTCAACAATTGAATGAATTAAGTTTATCATCAAATAAATTTAAAAAAGAAATTGAAATTACTAAAGCTAAAGAACAAGATTATATTTTTGGTAATATTTTAACTCAAGAAGATTATATAACTCCATCATTAACAAACTCATCAATTTCTACACCAAGTTTCCAATCAACAGCTGATGATAATAAAAATGGAATTTATGATTCAATAAATCAAAATATTGAAGTTAGTTTCTCAAATTTAAAGATTTATTCAGAATCATGTAATCAAGAATTAAATGTACTACCAACATCAAATAATAAAAAGGAAATTGAAACAAAAGAATCTTTAGAATATAATAATTTATTAAATTTACCCAAGATAAATTCAAAAGATTATGAATTTTATGAATCAATGATTAATCTACAACAATGAACAAATAATGAAATGAAATGAACGTTTATATATATATATATTATAATCCTAATTCTTTAAATGTAGAATTGAAAACTTTATTCAATTCATCTTGTTTTAAAAATTGAGCTTTTTCTAAACATTTTGATAAAGCTAAAGTATATTTTAATTCATCACTCTTGATCCAAATTAATCCATTACAACCAATTGCAATTTCAAATTTACATTTTTTAACTAATTCATTTAATATCTGACATTGAGGATTAAATAATAAAAATCTTGCAAATGATAAAGAAACTTCTAATAGATAACCACCTTCTAATAAACCAAATCCACCATCTTTCCCCGTTGTTGGATCAATACATTCTAATTCTGTATCAATTTCTTTATTTGCATTTGATACTCTTGCATAAACTAAATTCCCATTCTTAATATTTGGTCTATTTTTCTTTGTAGCATTTGGGAAAGCCATACTTGATAAAGAAACTGAATTTGAAAAATTTGATAAAGAAACTTTAAAAACATCACCAAAAGATCCAATAACTTTCCCAATAACAAAATCATTTTGTTGTGGTATATAACGACGAGAATTTGATTCTATATACAATGAATTTGCTTGATGATTTAATAAACCTGAATTTATTGGTATTATTGATTTATTTATTGGATTAACATAAATACCTGGTCCTATTATTAGTTGTGAGTTTTGATCTGTTGAATGGGATGGGAGATCATCACCTGGTATTATGAGTTGTGCCATTGTAATGTTTATTTGATTGGTATTGTATAAGTTTTATAATGCTTTGATCTGTCTATGTATTAATTGAAATCTTTATATACGTCAAATTAAATTTTTATTATGAAGACAAGTTCGCGAATTGATTTTATTAAATTCAAATTCAAATCACTTTAAACAGAAAGACAACAATCTTGTAAGAAATGAAGGTTATATTTTGGTGAGTATTTAGCTATCTATACCTTCTATGATTTGGGTTATTTAAATGTTGGTTCATTCATTATATCACTATGTTTAATTGAAATTTTATATTATGAGTCGGAATTTGTACTTTTGATCACGTGAATATTACGATTTCCGACCATGACTACTTCTAAACTATTCATATAATTATCAAATAAAGGTTTTGAAACTTGATAATGTGATTATATATTATTTATTGAGTGATTAATATGTCTATCTATAAATTAACTTCAATTTCAAAGAAAAATTTTGATGATTTTTTTAAATTTAAAATTTTATTAACCTCTAATTTTTTCTGTATGGTTTAAAAATGAAAATATTAAAAAAAGTCAAAATAAATATTAATGATCAAATTGCTTTAAATGGATTGAAAAATAAATCATATGAAAGACAGTAGCCTATATACTATATATTATATTTTATATTTTCAATTAACTGAAATTTTGTTGTACTTATAATGATATTTTAATTTATTAAAAATCATAATTACATAATCATGACATAATCAATATATTCAAATAATCAAATTTAATTTTACGTGTACTTGATAAACAATAAATTTGACACCAAAACCCAACTATCACCACAATACTTCATAAATACCAATATAATGAACCAATTATCATCACCAGGAAAACAAGATCCTAATGATTATTATAATAGAGGAGATAGATATATAAATTCATCACCAATAATATCTAATAAATATTCTCATGATATAAATGAAGAAGATGATGATTCAAATGATGGAGATTCAGATGAAGATATAATTGATAAAATAACTAGGAATAGACAAGAAAAGGCAAATTTAATATATAGACCAATGTCATCACCAATACGAGGAGAACAAAGAAGTAGTAAAGGTGGGTTTAAATCCAAATCTCTTAGGTCTAAATATACTTTAAGAACAAGACAATATATACCATTTAAACAACGTCAATTACAAGAAAGAACTAATAAAAGAGATGAATTACAATTACTTAGGAGAGGTGGGATGGATGAAATGGAGAAATTTATTCAAGCTAGAGGAGAACAAGAAGATTTGAAAAATTTAAATGAAGAATCAAATAATCATATTTTTGAATTTGAAGAATTGAATGAAAGTAATGATACTTTAAATAAATATGAACAAGAATTAGAGGATATGTTACGCAGGGAAGAAGAGGAACTAGAACAATTAACCAGTAATCTGACACTGGATCAACAATGAACTATATATAAATCTAATAAAATAATGAATTTAATGATTATACCACTTACTAATAAATTATGTAATATTTATCCCGGTAATCCATTCCTCCTATCTTCTCCGGGATTGTTCACTGCTCCGATTTTCCATCCGATTAAAGTCATTCGTTTTACCGCCAATTAAAAACTGAATGAATCAAATCAAAAAAACATGAACTCCAGATTCTAAACTTTTACTTTTATAATATATTGATATCTATTGAAAGCTATTATCAAGAGTTATCATCAAGAGTTACCATAAGTCAAAATGCTTGTACCAATATTATCTAGACAAATAAAATCCACTTTAAATAAATCATTACCAAAATCATTATCATGTTCTCAGTTCCATACATCAACAACAAAAAATTTTGATATACCATTCTTAAAACAAATTCCTCAACCTCCAGGTTATATCATTGGTACTGTTAATGATGCTTATATTAGTCCACATGCTTCCAAAACTCATGGTTCTTTACATTGGACTGTGGAAAGAATCATTGCTATTGGTCTTGTACCATTAGCTACTGTTCCTTTTATAACTGGTTCATTTGCTCCTGTATTAGATTCAATTTTAGCAACTTCTGTATTAGCACATTCATGGATTGGTTTCCAAGCTTGTATTATTGATTATATCCCAAAGAGAGTTTATGGTAAACAACATGATTATGCAATGTATTTATTAAGTCTTGGTACTTTAATTGCAAGTTATGGTATTTATTTAATTGAAAAAGATGTTGGATTAACTGGTTTAATTGCTAAAATCTGGACTGGTAAGAAAGAAGAAGAAAAATAAATAAAAATAGCATAGGGGAGATTATATTTATAATATTTAATTTAACATTTTACATCTACATATTCAATTCAAATTTCATAAAATAGTCATTAATGTAGAAACATAGCAATGTATACATAGTCATATCACTTTATTTCAATCTTTCTCTTGCGTGTATTACTTGGAGAATCAGGTTGAATCCTTATAGAACCAATACTTGAATTATTTGTATCATTCCCATCATTTGTATCATTTTCATCATTTATATCATCATCTTTTAAATTATTTGATATTTCATCAATATAATCAATCCCTTTATCAATTTTCCCACCAAATTTATTTAAACCATCAATCAAATCATTAATTTTAACAATTTTACCATATTGTTGTTCAATTTTTTCTAAATCATCATTTTCTAATAGAACATCACGACCTATTGAATAATTAATTTTTAAAATTTGTTCTTGATTAAATAATTTAGCATCCAAGATATTAGAATATATAGATTCAATGATTAATTTCTCTAAAATTTGAATATTTTCAATACCTAAAAATGATAATAATGTATTATAATTATATTGATTTGATAATAATGCTTTAGAAACAATTGATAATTGTAATAATTTGAATTCCGCTTTTGAAGATAGTTCCAAATATCTCTCCTTATGATGATTATAATCTTGGATTGTACCAAAACAAAATAATTCTAAAGTTGATTTGAGTTTCTGATCAATATCTATATTGTTTATTGAAGTTCTTAATTCATTAAAACCAAATGTTGTTTGATCTTCTAGTTTGTTTAGGATATATGTTGATATTTCTTCTTTTGATAATGATTCAAGTGACATCTTTATACTAACTTATGGTGATTTTAAAGTCAATCAATTGATGGTTTTTGCTTAAAAGAATTGATTAATTGTTGTTTCGTTTAAAATGTGTTGATTGAAACCGGAATTGAAACATATCCATTATCGCAAATTCCGACTCCATGTTTACTATTTTAATTTTACTATATAAACAAAAAACATTCCATTGAAAAAAAAGATTTGAAATTGAAAGGGTTCAAAAGGTTCAAAAGGGTCAACGGTCAAAGGTTCAAGGGTTCACAATGCTCAGGAATGAAAAGAAAATACCAATACGACAACGGAAATTGAAAACTTTAAGTTCATCATATGGATCAAATAAACCAAAAATTTCAAATAATCAAATTGAATCTCATAAAGAAATATTAAAAGATTCTGATAAATATTTAAATAAATTATTGAAAAAATTATATTTCCCCAAATCATTATCAAATGATTATACAAAACATTTACCAAATTTAACCAAAAGTTCAAGTAAATTGGATATTCAATTATATTGTTTCTTAGGGTTATTAATTAAGAATTTCATAAATAAATGGTATTATAAATTAAGTGATTCACCTGATTTTATTAATGAATTGATTCAATTAATATCCAAAATAACAAAAGATTTGGAGAAAAGGTTACAAGATGTCAATTTTGGGGAAATGATTCTTGATGATTTCTTCATTATTTTGAACAATCATTTATCCTTATATAAATATATTCAAAAGAATCAAGATTCAATGTTCTTACCAATTGAACCAGGTGATTTCCATCATGGGTTTGATATATTAGATACCCATCCTGGTTTAAACCCACAAGATCCAGATTCAGAATCAAATTATCTTCGAATCTTATCGAAAAACATACTAAGACATTTATTACCACCTGAAGAACAAAAATCTGAATTAGTTATGGAATTTATGAAAAGTTTAATAAGTGATTTGATTTTAAGAATCATATTGGAAAAATTAACAAAACCTTATCAAATTATGGAAATAATATCAATAATATGTGATTTGATACTTAAAAAAGAAGAACAAAACCCTCCAAGGGATGATAAATCTTCAATAATGGAAAGTTTAACAAATTCATTGAAAACATTCATAAATTTGATATCAGCACCTTCAAACCCCCAAACAAAAAGTTCTCTTGATATATCAAACTTGGGGATTTGGAAATTTCTATCAAATTTATTTGAAATCCCTGGGAAATCACCAATTTTATACTCTTTAGTATCATCAGCCTCCATTATAACATCAACAACCATGATAAATTCAAGTATAAATAATTTGATTTCAAATATTACACCAAAAATCATAAATGAAGATACAATTTGTATGATATTACAAAAATTTAGAAATATTTTGTTCCCACAGGATGATGAAATGGGACCATCTCGTAAAGAACCTAATGAAGAAGAATTCCAATTGATTAAAAGGGGTACGAAAATGAAGATAATCCAAGTTTTGCAGAAAAAGGGGGTTTGGAACTTATTAAATGTTGATGATGATGAGATTGATGAATTTTTGAAAGGATTGGAAGATGAGCATATTAATAAACATTTGATATTAAGGATCTTGGATATGATTATTGTTAAATTGATTCCTGAATTACAAGAATGAAAACACCTAAACTATATATTAGAAAGACTATAGATGTATATGAATAATGATTATGAATTAATGCTATTTTATATTGTAAATGGAGGAAGGTTGAGTGTCTATTCCACCAACCTCTCATCAAAATTAATCAAAATATCTTCAACTTCTTTATTAAACCTTCCTTGATCATTAATAAAACCTTTCCAAATATCAACACCATCCAACACAGGTATATAATGATTATTAATTTCTTTACCAATCTTGGTCATTACAAAACTTGAATGAAGTGCAATTTGATTTCTATAATCAGCCTTTGTTATGTCACTACCATATATAATATCATTAACCAAGGGCAATCCAAGACATTGAGAAAGATGTTTCCTAATTTGATGTTTTTTACCAGTTTCTAATTGTAATATAATTAATTGTAAATCTTGATTGATTGTGGTATCTGGGATTATAAATTTTGTAGTAGAGAATGAATTATTTGGATCTTGGGTTTTGATATACCCTTTGGTTTTGGTTTCATTACTATATATTATGGAATCATTATTTGGTAAATTAGTAATCTTGGGTATAATACCAATATAACGTCTTTTGAAAATAAACCCACTTGAACCACCTTTTTGTAAATTTCTACTAAACATTTGTGATGAATACTTGTTTAATGCATAGATAATCCCACCTGTGACTCTTGAATCTAGTCTATGGATTGGTTTTAAATTTGGATAAGATTTGATTAATATAGGTACTAATTCATTATTTATTAACCCTTTTGCAATGGTTTTTTGAGAATAATCACATTTCAAACCTGGTGGTTTGTTTACCAAGACATAATGAATGTTTTCAAAAACACTGGGTAGTGGATGTCTCATGATATTCCTGATACTCTATATAAATGGTATTGATCTGAAGCTTTTTGATGATGTTTGATTACATAAAAGTGTTGATAATTTTGAAAAGTAAACAAATGAAAAACAAAAAAACCAAAAATTCAAAAACTCAGCGGTTAATCAAATTTAGTTCAGCGGTTAAATATTCAGCGGCTAATCATATAAATATAATAATGGATCCATTCCCAACAAATCTCAAAGAAGGTCTGGGTTTCACGCCACTGACGTATCTGATTCCAACACAGGATAGTGAGTATACTGGGAAGTTGATTAAGAAGAACATTGACTAACCATTTGTTTAGTGGCACCGTTATTAGCTCCAATCAATGGTGAATTAGACCAGAAGGATTCGGTATTGGATCCAGTAGACCAGGAATTATATGATGGATTCAAACCAGTGCTGGAAGATACTACGGGTGAATATGATGAGATTAGATCTAAGCTGCTAAGGAAACTGAATTTAAACCAAAGTGTATCAGAATCCAGCACGTTTTTCAAAGGTTTCGATAAAGATGGTGATGATGATTCTACAATGGATTCCAAATCTCTATTTGAAGGTTTGAGTGGGTTTAGTAAAGACATTGTGAATTCAGTTGAGTTGATATCTGATGATCGAATCATACATGGTGAAGTTGATGAACAAAAAATCATAAAGAAAGAAAAACCTTCCAAACCATTGAACAATAAACGTCATTCCTCTGTGATAATCAATGATGTTGATTTAAAGAAAAGAAAATCAGATGTTGGGATTCAGCATTTACAACTGGAAAATATATCAATTCAAAAATTGAAATCATTAATTTTGGATAAAATTGGGTTAGTTGATGATTCAATAGATTATAATAATTCTCAAATTTGGTTAGAAGTACCCAATTATGGATTCGTCTTATCGGATAATACTATAGTGGAAATAGAAGAACATTTATCCAAAATTTCAGGTACAAAATTAACTGATGAAATTCCATTCGAAATATTAGATCGTATTAAGAAATTATCAATAAACAACTTATCAAGCATTGAAAACATTGAATGGACTAACATAGATTTAGAATCTGAATTTTGGTCATTAAAATTTGCTCTGAATAGTTTAAAAGCTGTTTCATTAATTTTAATTATATTCAATTTCCAAAGACGTGAAAAAAAATTATATCTTGATGAAGACTTGATGTCAGCATTAAACTTTGTTTACAAGATTATGGAAGATTTAATTTTACCTGTGACAATAACCAATTCCAATTTATCATCAGAAACTTCTAAATTAATCATTGGTATCATAAATTTATTGAAAAAAAATTATGAATTATTTGGTATTTATATTTCACAAAGTCAAGCAAATGATAATATTATAACAAAATTAGAATATTTATCCATAATACCATTTTTTCATATTGTGGAAAGGAAATCACTTGTGTCAAATTTCCAAATTTTGAGGATTTCTTCAATGGATTTATTAATAAAGATTTTTAAGTTTAAATCAGACCAGAGAAAATATCTTATAAATGAAATTTTATCAAATTTTGATAAATTACCAACTAATAAAAATTTGGCTAGATCAATTAAATTATCAAGAGGTGCTAATATTCAACCATTTACAGCTTTAATATTAAATTTCTTAAATTCAATAAATATTAAAGATATTGAATTGAATAAAATTTTCAAAGAAAATGAAGTTTCAAATTCAAATTTAGAAGCCTTACATGAAACTATAACGGAATTAGATCAAGAAAGATCAACTTATTTCTCAATGATATCTTCCAATTTGATTAATAAATTAATTACACAATTATCCCCAAATTTTAAAATAACTTTTGAAATGTTCATAACAGATTTATTAAATCTTGTTAAATTTCCAGAATGGTCTATAGTGGAACCAATTTTAGCTTCAATTACAAATACTCTTATATCAAATTCTGAAAATCAAACTTCAATAGTGGAAACCTATATATTGGAAGTTATTGGGATTATTGGTTCAACTATGCTTGAGTTAAAAGGTATAGACGAATTACCAGATTCAAGTATTATCCAATTAGAATTTGATTATAGTCAAAGTTATAGTTATTCTTATACATTATCAAACCAAACATTTTTCCAATATGCATCTGATTCTATCGTTTTCGATTGGATTTTAAAATTGTTTATTGAATATGACCAGAGGCAAAATGATGATAATCTTGATAAAAAAAATAAAGCCATTTTCCAAGAGAGTTTTAATGGTATATTGACTGGTTATTATAGAGATCGTTCAAATAATTATATAAGAAAATCAAATGGGTCAGAAAATCAAGAATTAGCAACTTCAAGTTATAAAAAAGTGTTATTAAATGGGAAATTTATGAAATTATATCAGAATTTCTTAGGTCATCTATTGAAAGCCATTGATCACCCTAAAATAAAATCAAGAACAAGAGCAATGAAAAATTTGGCCCAATTGATTGATAAAGATTCACGTTTATTAAATATTCCAATGGTTAAAAGTTCACTTTCAAATAGAATTCAAGATCCTTCACCATTAGTTAGGTTAGCAGTTTTAGAAATTTTTGATCAATATATTTTGAAAAAACCTGAATTAATTGGTGAATTTTATCAAACTTTAATTTTAACAAATGATAAATCAATTAGTGTTCGTACAAAATCTTTAAAAATTGCTAAAAGAATTTTCCAAGAATCTAATGATATTAAGATTAAATTATTTACAATTGAAAAAATTCTAAAAAGGTTAGAAGATGATGAAGAAAATATTTTGGATTTTACAAAGCAAATCTTGATGGATTCAATATTCATTTCTACTTATTCACAAACAATTGATGAAAATAATGAAAAAAATCCTCAAGGGATTAAAGCCCAAATTGAAAATTTAGTTAATACTTTATTATTATTAATTAATTCAAATGAAAAAAATTGGGAATTATTTGAAAGTTATTTAAATTCTGATATCATTAGAATAACTGATGAAAACAAAAAAATCCATAAAAATTTGATATCAACATTAAATATTATTGTGGAATATCTTTTAAATTTTATAATTGATTATATGGATACTGAAAAGCAAAAAAGTGTTGAACAAGGTCTTGCATTATTATCAATTTTTGCTAAATGTGATTATGATTTAATCAATCAAGATCAATTAATGTCATTACAACCTTATTTGACCACGGATTCCAATATTTCAAATACAACTTCAAGTTATTATACACTTGTTATTTTCAGATATAGTATTAACCCAAAGATTACATATAAAGATCAGTTTTTAACAGATTCTCAAACTTCATTATTAAGAAGATTAACTAAGTTCACTGCAAGAGAATTAGAAGAAGCTATGCCTTTAGTTTGGTCTTTATCTGTTGCTAAGAAAGATACTTTAAAAATTGCAAATGCTGCTTTATCATGTCTTTCACTTATAAAACCTCATATTGATATTGCAATGAAAGATGGATTAATAAATTCAGATCCTAAAGTTCTTAGATTGATTTATTTGATTGGAAGTTTTGGTAAATATTGTGAGTTAGAATCAAATAGATCAATATTTATTGAAAAGATGACTAAATTAGGATTAAAAGATAAAGAAAGTATTTTAAGTTTAATTACTAAATTTCTTTTGGTATTTACAAGAAAATCAGTTAATAGACAAACCAGAAGAGTTGCAATAAGAAATTTAATTGGAGTTTGTTCAACTCATCCTAAATTATTTATGAGTCCACCAATTTTGAAAATTTTAGATTTGGAATTTTCTAATGGTGATGTTGATTTTAAACAAGTTATGATACAAGGTATCTCAGACTTTTTAGAAAGAGAAGAAAAACAATCATTTAAGAGATCTGGTAATGATGGTAAAATTTCAAGTAAATTAAGTATTGATGTTGATGTTTTCCATGGTAATTCCAAAATGTTTGAAAATGATGGTATTTGTACGTCATTAGTTCAACGTTATATGGAACCAATATTAGATATGTGTCTTTATGATGATGGTGAACATTCATTTCTCGCTGTTAAATATTTAAGATTAATTGTTAAATTAGAATTTGCAAATCCAAGAATTTGTATACCAACAGTTATTGCACTTGAAGCTTCCAAGTTATCATATGTTAGATCAATTGCATTAGAAATTCATAGAGTATTACATTCCAAACATGAATCATTGATTGATTCAAGTTATATTCATGGTATTAAACTTGCAGTACAATATAGATCTAAACTAACATCAAATTTACTTGAAGAAAATCCATTTTTTTTCGAAAAATTTTATAAAATTATTCAAGACTCTAGATCATCTAAAAAGAAATTATTTAATCAATTAATTAAATCATTTAATTTTGATTTAGAAAATATTAAGAATTCAGATTTGATTTTCCTAAAAAATTATGTTTTATTTTTATCAAATTCTATACCTCATGCTCAATTGATAAATCTTGATGAAGTTTTCCAATTAGTTGATGGGGTTGATAACGTGATTAGTAACAATGGTGTTAATCTTAAATCAATTGTCAGTGAGCACTTATCAAAACCAGAGATTGAAGATGAGCTGTTAGAGAGATTATCATTAATGAGTTTGATAATCTTGTCATTAATTGAGTTAAAGTCTTGTCTAATCAAGACGTATAAGATTCCAGAATTTGGACAAAGAAATGAACTGAAGCAACAAAAGGCCAAACATAATGAAACCTCAATTGAATTATTTGATGTTAGTAAAGAGTCAGGTTCTTTTATTCAAGTTCTTAATAGATTGAATGATATAACTTTTTAAATGAATATTGAATGATTGAATTACTTTGAATTTTGTAGCGCTTACAAACTTTTAAAGAAACTTCGAAAATATATATATTAATAATATATACAGCTAAACACTTTAAGAAAACCTTAAAAGGAAATTGAGTATTGGACGTATCAATTGGCTTAAATTAATTTGAATTGATTGATAACCGGGAGGCAAAAAGAAGTGTAAATAAGTTCCTCATCAAGTTCTTTATTGATCATCGTGGCGAAATATCCAAAGATTAAGTAGAATACCACCGATTAACATACCAGCAGAAACGAAAATCATCAAAATTTTAGTTCTTGTTTCTTCTTGAGTAATTTTGAATTGTTCTTCAGCTACTTGATTTCTTAATTGGATTTCTTGATGTTCATCTGAATTTGTTTCTAGTTTTCTCATGATTGACTCTCTTCGTTCATCATAGCGTAATTTTATTAGTTCCTGGGTACAAACGTAAAACGAATAATTTGACATAAAGTAGATCACTTTCACATCAAACCCGAATAGTGATAAACTGATCATTAGAACAACCAAACCAATACTCCACCGCGAGTTTTGATTTTGATTTTGATTGGAACCTGTTCTCATACCACCACCAATTGGAAGATAACTCAGCATGATGAATAAAACTCTGAATTGATAAATCACTTGATTTGATTTGTCTCCTTTTGAGTTGATTATTTAAAAGTTTGAAAAAAAATGGAATCATTTGAATATTTATATTATTCTTTGCCGCGCGGCTAATTTTAATTTTAATAATATCAACAATTCAACATCAACAAAAAGGTCAAAAATGAAGTAATTATATAAAACAACTGAATCAGAAATCTCATCATACAAATCTCATCATGAAATCTCATCATAACTTGGTAATGAATCTGGTGACGTACAATCATTTGATAAATCTAATCTATATCCAACTTGAATAAATTCAGATATATTTGAATCTGAATGAATTTCAGAAGATAATTCAACATATGATGGTCTTCTCTCAATATTTTCCTCTATATTCAGGTGTTTATTTATCAACAACTCTTGTAGATAGAAAAACCAATTTTGGAAACCCTCTTCCAAAATTTGAATCAACATTTCTTTACAAGATTTTAATTCATAATAAACATCATGCAATGAATTAGTTGAATCAATTGGTTTGATAATTTTTTTGTAATGAGTGTCATGAATTTCATCAGTTGAATTAATGAAAAAAAATATTTCATTTGGTTTGTTATAATCCAATTCATGATATTGTAAATAAAAATTTGAATTTGATTCATTCCCATCAACATCAACATCATAATGATGATATAATTTAGGTACAACTTTTATCAATGTAAAACTTTCCCATGGATGACTTTCAATTCTGGGTTTATATAAATCAATCATATGAATGATTTTAGAAAGACTTTCGAAATTTCGATAAAAATTCATTCCCGAGACATTGTACATGAAATACAAAGGTTCTTGGTCACGATGATCATTAGGAAATATTATTCTTTGATCCATTGCGTGGTTAACTTTCAACTTTAAGTCAGATATAACATCATCTAATGTTGTATTTTTTTTTTTCATAATAATGATATTAAAATAATGACCTATCGTCTTCATGAATTTAATTTCTCTTTCAGACCAGTTTGATTGATATTTAGCTCTGAATTCAAGAGCACATCTTTCATACCCAAAGGGATTAAAGCAAACTATATCAAAAATTTGATCAGCTTTGAAAATTGGTGAAATTCCATCATTTAAAAGTAATGAACAAAATTTTTTGGATTCACAACGAACAATTCCACCTTTTTTGAAAAAACCTTTAAATGGCACACAATGAATTTCGAAATTTTCATTCAATTCTTCAATACTTAAAGTTTGGAAATATTCTATGGCATCATATCTAGATATATTTAATTCAATTTCATCATTAATATTTGAGGTTTGAGTTGTAGTTTCTTGATTACCATTCTTAAATGAGCTTAACCGATCAAACATCTTGTACCAAATTCTTAGCAGTGAACCGAATAGAATCCTGAGTTCATCCTCAAGCAAAAACAGGAACCAAAGTTGAAGCGAAATTTTAAAATCATTTTAAAATCATTCTTTACCGAGAATTCATAGAAATTTCACACCAAATTTGGTATAAAGTTCTCATTTTCAATAATAAATAGTTGGGTATAAAACCTGGGTATTAAATATAAGCTTATATACGAGCCGTCGCGAAAAATTGAAAATTACATGAACAAAGAAGAAGATTTGGAGGTAAGGTCATCAACTATGACCAAAACGAAATGATGGGACAAGCTAAGCTATTCCTAACTTTCAAAAGCTACAAAACCGCCTATTATTCAACCAACTAGTAAACTAAAATAAAAACAAAACCAATATGTGAAGAATCTAGAACCATATAAAAGGTCCATAGAGTGTCTTTAACAATTCTATATAGAAGAATTACAATATAATGAATGCCCATATAATTAATTTCTTTAAAAACATCAATGAATATCACTTAAATCAAATATAAAGGTGATTATATTATTTTGAGTCTACTAATTTTAATTTTAATAATATCAACAATTTAACATCAACAAAAGGTAAAAATGATATCATTATATAACAACTGAATCAGAAATCTCATCGTAACTTGGTAATGGGCCCAGTGAAACAGAATCTGGTCTTCTATATTCATTTGACGGATTTAATTTATATCCAACTTGAATAAATTTAGATATATTTGAATCTGGATGAATTTTAACAGATTCCTGAAAATGTGATGGTCTTCTATTAATATTTTCCTCTATATTCAAGTACTTATTTATCAACAACTCTTGTAAATAAGGAAACCAACCACGGAAACCATTTTTCAAAACTTGCATCAAAATTTCTGTTGGGCTTCTTAATTCATAGTAAGTCTGATTAGTTGAGCCAGTTGAATTAATTGGTTTGATGATTTTTTTATAATGACTATATTGAACTTCATGAGCTGCTGTATTTATGAAAAAGAAAACCTCATTTGCTTTATTCAAATCCAATTCATCATGGTGTAAATAATTATTTGAATTAAATACATCATCACCAGCAGCAGCATAATGATGATGTAGTTTAGGAACAACTTTTATTAATGAATAACTTTCCCATATATGGTTTTCAATTTTGGATTTATATAAATTAATCATATGGATCATTTTAGAAAGGTTTCCATTTTGATAAAGATTCATAGCTGACGCAGGATTGTACATGATATATAAAGGTTCTTGTTCACGATGATCATTAGTATTTGTTATTCTTTGATCCATTGAATGATTCATTTTGAAATTCAAATCAGCTATAACATCATCTAATGTTATATCTTTTTTTTTAATAATCATGATGTTAAGATAAATACCTATATTATTCATAACTTGGATTTTTCTTTCAGACCAATTTGATTGATATTTAGGTATGAAATAAAGAAGGCATCTTTCATATCCAGATGAGTTGAAGTGAACTATGTTAAATATTTGATTGATTTTGAAAGATGGTGAAAGTGTATTATTTATAATTAATGAACAAAATTTTTTGGATTCACAACGAACAAGACCATAATTTCTTAAAGAACCTGTAAATGGCCAACAATACATTTCAAACTGCTCTTCAAATTTTGCATTAGTTAAAGTTTGGAGATATTCTATGGAATCATATCTAGACACTTCCAATCCAATTTCATCGTTATGTGAGGTTTGAGTTGTAGTTTCTTGGTTACCATTTAACCATTCAAACATCTTGTACCAATTTCTTAACAGTGAACTGAAATGAGTCTTATAGTGGAACAAAAGCAAGAAGCAAAGTTGAAGTGAAGTTTTAAAATCATTTTAGAATCATTCTTTACCGAGAAAATCATAGCAATTTCATATCGAATTTGGTATAAACTTTAAAGTTCTCATTTTCAATAATAAAAAGTTGGGTATAAAACATGGGTATTAAATATAAGCTTATACACTGGGCGTCGCGAAAAATTGAAAAATATAAACAAACATGAATGCACATGATCTTTCTTTGAAAACATCATTGTAACATCGTAACTGTCAAGATCACTTAAAATTTGAGTGAAGGATGGTGCTCGTTAGGAACGGTACCAATCAATCCAACTTGTCCTTAAAAATTGATGCTAATCACATACTGAAAAGTGTCATATATATCAAATCAAGTGTGTATTATAAATGGATCAATTTCTAATAAAAGCTCATACTGACTTAAATTTTTTCATATTAGTTGCTTTCTTGATTGCATTCGTATTCACTGTTGTTTTTGATTTCAAGGATACTTTATCTCATGAATTGAGTGGGAAGGAATTGTATGTATGGATTTTAAGGATGTTTTAGTACTAATAATAACCATTTATTTATAGTATACCTTCAATTCTTGATGTTATAGAGAGTTTTTATCCTAATAAGGCAATATATCAAATACTTGTAGCGTTATTATCTGCTTTTCAACTTGTATTTGTTTTAATTTATTCTTTGGTTGTTTGGAGAAAAAGTTCAAGAATTGGGTTGGTTATATTATCTATTGGATTGATTAGACTTTTATGCTTTTTATCATTTTCATTTATTCCTTTGGATGATGATTCAGTTTCAAGTATCAATTTCTTATCAGTTTATATCTTGAGCACATTCATTTGGATGATTTGTATATCTAAATACATTACTTTAAAAAATCCACAAATTCAAAGATCTAGACAAAATTTAAGATTATATTTTGGTATTTGTCAAATAAGTGCTATGGGTTTTTATTATAAACATCAAATTGAAAGAGTCAATTATGCATTTAGTATAAGTTCAATATTTCAATGGGGGCTAATAATACTGGATATAAAGTTTGATAATACATTAGGAATAGATTTGAAAAATGTTGAATTTAATGTACAATTAGGCAAAGAATTAGAATTGAATGAGCGGTATGACAAACATATAGTATAGATACATGGATTACAAGAAATATATATATGCACATGTCATGAATTATAAGTATCGTAAACATCATTATTGTTTCTCAATTCTTGTTGATTTAAAAGGTTCTGCAATTATAACTTTATCATCAAATTTTAATTTAATTATTGGACCATATTTACGGATTTTCTTCCTCATTCTATGGGTTTTAATCTCTTCTAATGTCTTATTATCTTCTTCTTCATCTGTATCACTTTCTTCCAATAATTCTTTATCAACAGTGGAAGAATAAAATCTGAATTGATCATTTTTATACACGGGTGATGATGCTCGAATTCTACCCAACACTTTATCTTCAAGTTTTTTCCAATGTTCAAATCTTTCCAATAACAAGGTAAGTGATTCAATTGTCCATTGTTTTTTCTGTTCTAGTTCAACTTGATCTCTTGGATCTCTTATATATGTAATAGTTGGTAATATCCTACTCCAATTATTTTGTTGTAATTTTTCTAATTGTGACTTCATTTTATCAGCTTCTGAATAAATTTTTTCTCTTTCCCAATTAATCATTTTTTTCTCTTCTTTTTCCATTCTTTTATTATATGGATGGTATAATTCATCAATCAATGGATCAGGTTTCAAAGTTCTTGTTGTAGAAGTTGTAGATTTCCTTAATTTTCTCTTCTTCTTGGTACCACCGCCATTACCATTATTTTGATCATCTAAATCATCATCAATCAATTTTAAATCAGTAACAAATGAAACACTTGATTTTTCAATGGTGAAATCAGTTTTTAATACTTCACATTCCTCGAGATTATCATGACTTATTTTGATTTGTGCATCACCATCTATTGATTCTGGATTTTCTTCATAGTTAAATAATGAAGTATTCACTTTAGGAGCTTCTTTCGATCGAAGCTTCCTTACTTCTTTCTGTCCATTAGAGTTCCCATTCAAAGATCCCTGTGTCATCTTGATCCACAGCCAGTCGTTATCCCTGGTCTTCCTGGTCTCCTTACTCCTTTTTGATCAAATTCTCAACGTCTCTTGACTCTTGACCCATAATGGCCCAAGTCTGGCCTGCCCACCCACCGCGAAAATTAAGATTATCACAATCTACAAATCGGTCAGTAAACAAAGCATCATCAAGCATCATCAAAGCACCAGGCGGAGTGTCTACCCAGTGTCTACCCATTGTCATACCTAGAAGCTCAGCACACAGAAGAAGAATGGAAAGACCACAGACACCGTCCTTTGTGATCTCAGACTCCAATGACTACGTTGGCGACTACAGCGGCAATGAATTGAATGAACTGAATGAACCTTTCCAACAAGAACCAGAACAAGATGATGATAAGGAAGCTACACCACAGGAAGATCTATTAGAAGCTAGTGCTAAAAACCCTAGTGTCCTGTTAGAATTGGACATGGATGGAAAAGTTCAACATTTAGGTAAAGCATGGGAATCTATCATTGGAACAAAACTTCATAAGATTGTCAATCGTCCAATCTCCAATATCATCTTGGGTGATCAAGATGATAAGAACATTTTCAACAATGCTATCAATATAATGATGACTGATGACGCTAGTTACAGAGTAAGGTTTGTTGTTGCTACAAATGATGTGATACCTGAAAAAAATGATGTTGATTCCTTAGGATCTGATGAAGTTGGTGGTGTTACTGCTGTTACTACTACAAATGATAATCATTCTGATCAAAGTTCTCTGAGTTCATTATCAACCAATGGAGAAATGATAGAGTTAGAAGGTCAAGGTATATTAATTCATGATTCCAAGGGAATACCCACACATTCAATGTGGATCTTGAAACCTTTTGATGCTAATGCCTTAAATGTCCAACTACCCACAAAATTAGCTGAAACTTTAGGATTTGGTGCAGATATTTTCACCTCTTATCTTTCAGCTTTATCAGAAGCTGGTATCATAAATGAAGATGAAGTCCCTGCTCCTCCACAAGTATTATGTCGAATTTGTGAACAACAAGTTCCTTCGTGGTGGTTAGAAAAACATTCACAACTTTGTTTCAATGAACATAAATGTGAAAGTGAAGTTCAAGAAGCTCATGATGCATTAGTCGAACAAAGAACGATAATAAACTCTATAAATGAATCATTGAACAAACAACAAGCAAATGTTTTTGAAAATGGTGTTTTAGATTATAAAGGTATTCCATTACCAAAAGTGGCAATAAATACAGGTGATTCTCCAGTATCAAGAAATGCTCCATTAGCAACTTTGGCAAGAAGAGGTCGTTCAAATTCTATATTTGGAACTTTAAGATTCCCTTTCAAGACTCTAGCATTACTTTCAGATCTTTGTGAACAAGCTATATCTATAAATCCAAGTGAGTTCAATGAATCAACAGATACTTTTGAATTTTCTCCAAATACAAAACAAGCATTTGAACATGTATTTGCATCAGAAATTCCAGAATCCTCAGATCCTTGTATTGTTTCATTATCAAATGACACTGAAAAACTTGTTCAAGATAAAATTGATTCAATTTCAAGATTGAATAGCTCATTATTATATTCACAAAAAATTAAAGATGAGGTTGACGATTATGTCATTGCTACAATTGGTGAAACTATCAAAAATATTAGAAATCAAACCTATGATGTTCATCCTCCAAATCCTTCATCTTTAAATTCATCCACTACAAATGATAGTAAATCAGATAATATCAATCCTAAACTGATTTACCCCAAACCAACCTCTGTTCAATCTCATATCTTCACTGATGCATATCTGAAAACAGATTCATTACCAAGCCCCAGTAGAGAAAATATAAGAGATGCATTAAATGAAACAAAAGGTCATTATTCACCATCAAGATCTATTACACCAAATGAAATTATGCAAAATAATGATGATACCAAAACACCAGATGAAGAATTTCCAAATTTTTCAGATTTACATATCAAAAGTCCAATCTTGACACCACAAAGAAGATCTTCACCAAGTGTTAATCCTGTTTTCCATAATTCACCGATGAGTTCTATCCAAAGGAATGTTAAGCATAGTGGTGGTGAAAGTCAATTGAATACCCCTATATCATCACCCTTGATAATGGCACATGATCCAAGCGATAACCTTGAAAAAAGAGGAAGTCGTGATAATTATTTATCTATAAGTAGTGCAGGTAGTGGGAGTACAAATACTGGAAGTTATCATGGAAATAGTCATGTTATGAAACCGCCACTTTCACCATTATTGGTTGCAATGCCAGCTCCTAAACCAACACAACCTTCAATTAGAGATTATGAAGTTTTAAAAGCTATCAGTAAAGGTGCTTTTGGAAGTGTTTATTTAGCAAGAAGAAAAGTCACAGGTGATTATTTTGCTATTAAAGTATTGAAAAAAGCTGATATGATTGCTAAGAATCAAGTTACAAATGTTAAATCAGAAAGAGCTGTTATGATGGCACAATCCGATAGTCCTTATGTTGCAAAATTATATTCAAGTTTTCAAACTAAAGATTATTTGTGCTTAGTTATGGAATATTTACCAGGTGGTGATTGTTCAACTTTAGTTAAAATGTTAGGGAATTTACCACATGATTGGGCAAAACAATATATTGCAGAAGTTATTGTTGGTGTTGAAGATTTACATAAAAAGGGAATTGTTCATCATGATTTGAAGCCAGACAATTTATTAATTGCTTCGAATGGTCATTTAAAGCTAACTGATTTTGGTCTTTCTAGAATGGGGTTAGTTCGCCGTCAAGAATCAGCTCATAAACATTCGATTCCAGGTGATGATGTTTTTGCACAAGCTACAAGTATAAATTTATCATCATCATCTCATCACCATACTCAACAGCAACCACAGCATCATCGTAAAAATTCATCAATCACACCGTTTAGTCTCTCTTCAACTTCAGGTCCTTCAAGCGCTCATGATTTTCCAAGTGCTGGTTCAAGTCCAACTACAAGTTTTTTCGAAAGTATGGCTAAATATCATTCAAATGAAAGATCAGGATCCACAGGCAGTGTTACGGATTCACCTCTGTTAAGACCATTACATAGATCATCATCACAAGCTTCATTTGCTATACCTGCTGAAGATAATTCAACTCCATCAACCCCATCGACTCCAACGACTAAAAATCTTGCATTATTTGATCCAGAAAATTCATTAATTAGCAAAAAGTTCGTTGGTACTCCTGATTATTTATCACCTGAAACAATTAGAGGTACAGGAGAAGGTGAAGCATCAGATTGGTGGTCAGTTGGTTGCATATTATTTGAATTTTTATATGGTTATCCACCATTCCATGCAAATACACCGGATGAAGTCTTCGCAAATATACTGGCAGGAAAAGTTGATTGGCCTGATTTATCACCTCAAGATGATGCAGATATTTGTCCACCTGAAGCTAAAGATTTGATTAAAAAAATGTTGAATATGGATTCAAAATTAAGATTAGGTGCTAATGGAGCTGAAGAAATAAAAAGTCATATATATTTTAAAGATATCAACTGGGATGATTTATATAATCAATCAGGATCTTTTGTTCCAGTTGTGGAAAATCCAGAAAGCACAGATTATTTTGAGTCTAGAGGTGCAGACGTGGACGATTTCCCTTCAAGTGATGGGTCAAATTCAGATGGTGAAAATTCAACTCAAAGTGGTATGGTGGGTACTAATGATGATGGATCTCAAAAGAATTTGACACAAATTAATACTACAACAAGTTTAGGATCACCGTCAACTGCAAATTCACCAACTTCAAAACATTTATCATTAGCTATACCTGTTCATATGAGAGAAAGAAGACCAAGTAAACTTAATGATAATCCTGGGGAATTTGGTTCATTCCAATTTAGAAATTTGCCAGCTTTAGATAAGGCCAATAAAGATGTTATAAATCGTATCAAAGCTGAACATTTAGAACAAAGAAGTAATATGTCAAGTTCATCATCAGAGTCTGGTACAAGATCAAGAAATTACTCAATGTCATCAAATAGTGGACTAAGACGTGCAATTTCACCGTCTGCTGCTGTTATGAGAACTCATTCACCAAGTAGGATGAGTTTTAGTTCAAGTAGTATCCCACAATCATTACCATTACATGAACGGTTGAATTCAAGTACATCAGTTATAAGTAATTCATCTGGTGAAGAGTTTGGTTCCAATGCATATATTGAAAAATCAGGAAGATCAAGTCCAAGAAGTGATTCAGGTTCTCCATCAACAAGATCATTTGCTAAACCACAAACACCAACTACACAAACATCTACACCAACTCATCAACATAATAGAAGTTCAAGATCTAGAAGTATTTTCCAAAGAACATTTTCAGATTTTTCACCTTCAAGTTCTGATACAGAAGATTCAAGAAGTTCAGCAATTCAAAGAGTTCGTAAAAGGAGACAAAGTTCTAAATTTTCAGATGCATCAAGTTCAAAATTACAAATTATGGACATCTTGCTTTGTGAACCAATTCCAATTTTAAGATATTCAATGAAGAAAGATTTAGAAAATTTAGGATGTGCAGTTGTTGCAGTATCTGCAGGTGATGAAATTGTTAGAAGAGCAACTGGTGAAGTTAAATTTGATATGATTATAACTGCTTTAAAATTACCACAATTAGGTGCTGTTGATATTGCTAAACTTTTAAAACATACATCAAGTGTTAATTCAGAAACACCAATTGTTGCAGCTACTGCTTATTACAAAGAAGCAACAAGTGCAAATATATTCACTGATGTTTTAGAAAAACCTGTTGGTAAGAAAAAATTAAAGGCAATTTTAGATAAACATTGTCGCTGGAAAATTGATAGATCTGAAGAAGCAGTGTCAGATACAGAAGCGGTTTCAGATACAGATTTTTTGGATAATATGGATATACGTAAAACATAAGGCTTATAATAATAATAAAAAGAAATATACGACATTATGATAAACTTATATAATATTGGATTGTGGTAGGTTGAATAAATGGACATTTTAATTTATCCGATCAACGGATTAATGTTTTCAAGCTATGGCTTCGGAAATATGATAACATCATAAATGTGCCACACTTTATCAAGACACCTTCATATAAAAGAAAACATTGAACACTCAATCCAGCTTAATTTTATCCATCATGTAAGATAAATAATATTATAACCAAGCCAATTATAAAGACATAATGAGTCCTGATCCAAAGAAACCAAAACTTCAAAAAAAACTAATCATCAACGCGTTCAATCCAGGTTCTGCTCAAAGATGGAGAGTTGATCATGATCAATCATCAAGATTCACAAATGATGTTGATGCATGGATTGAATATGCTCAGAAAGCTGAAGAAGGTAAATTACATGCTATATTCGTTGCTGATCATCTTGTAGCATTTGATGAATTTGAAGGACCTCATAATTTTAAACATCCTGCAAAAGCTGGTCTTTCATTTCCAAGAATTGATCCTTCATCATGGGTACCTGCAGCAGCTGCCAATACACAAAGTATTGGGTTTGGTATTACTTTTAGTACCGTGAGTGAACATCCATATTTGTTTCATAGACGTATTGCTTCATTAGATCATGTTACAAAAGGTAGAATTGGTTGGAATATCGTTAGTTCATATTTGAATAGTATTGGTAGAAATTTGTTGAATGGTGAACCATTCCCAGAACATGATGAAAGATATGTCAAGACTGAAGAATATTTAGATGTTGTTTATGGATTATTGTTAAGTAGTTGGAGAGATGATGCCTTGGTTAAAGATGTTGAAAATGCTACATTTGTTAATCCAGATGCAGTTAGAGAGATTAATCATGAAGGTAAATATTTTAAAGTTGCAGGTCCTGCTATTGTGGAACCATCAAGACAAAGATTCCCATTAATCATCCAAGCAGGTACATCCAAGAAAGGTAAAGAGTTAGGGGCCGCTAATGCAGAAGTTGTTTATCTTGATGATCGTGATAAACCTCATTTGAAAGAAAAAATTGAAGCAATTAAAACCATTGCAGTGGAAAAATTTGGAAGATCAAGAGATTCAATCAAATTTTTAATTGCATCAATTCCAATCATTGGTAAAACTCATGAAGATGCTGAACGTAAATTGAAAGAATTGACAGAAGCTGGTATCCCACTTTCTGCAGAAATTGGATTTAGTGGTATTTCAGGTATTGATTTAAGTAAATTTGAATTAGATGATGAAGTTCCAATTGGACCAGCTAATAATAATTTGAGAACAACAGTGGAAGGTATAACAAGACAAAAAAAACCTGGTAAAGCATTAACCAAGAGAGAAATAATTGAAAATTATAGAGCAAGAAGTGGATCATTATTTGGTTCATATATCGAAGTTGCAGATGAAATTGAAAGATGGGTTAGAGATTATGATATTGATGGATTGAATTTAGGATCTCATACTTTCCCACAAGGTATTAATGATATTGTTGATTTGTTGATTCCTGAATTACAAAAAAGAGGATTGTTCCATTTGGATTATGAAGTTCCAGGTGGTACACTTAGAGAAAATTTGAATGGTGAGAAGGGTAAAACTTTCTTATCAGAAGATCATCCAGCTTATGGATTAAGATGGGAAGCTGGTGTGTCTCAAGAAGATTTTGAGAAGAAACTTTCAGAAATTAAAAAGAAGACAAAGGAAATCAGAGAATCTTTATGAATATTACGTATAGATATCATTAAAATAAACTTCTATATTAAACAACTCTGTATATATGTAAAGAGATTTCCAACAATCTAAATATCTTCATCAAGACGAGCAGCAGGATTAGTTTCAATAAAATCAAGACTAACTTTATGACCTAATAATTCTCTAATATTACTAACACCATATTTAATCATAGTTGGACGTTCTAAAGATAAACCCCAACCTAAAACTCTTAAATTCTTTGGTAAACCCATTGGTTCCAACATTTCAGGTCTAAACATACCTGAATTACCAATTTCAACCCATTTACCAAGACCTTCATGCCATGAGAAAATTTCCATTGAAGGTTCAGTATATGGATTATAAGTTGGTTTAAATTTTAAATTTGTAACACCCATTTTGGAGAAGAAATCTTCCATAAATCCAATTAAATCACCTAAAGTTAAATCATAATCAGCCAAGACACCTTCAACTTGATGAAATTCAGCTAAATGTGTAGCATCAACAGCTTCATTTCTGAAAACTCTATCAATAGAGAATAATCTTGCAGGACCTGGATTGGCAGCTAAATCATGTAAAATTTTAGAAGAAATTGCAGTTGAATGAGTTCTCAAGACTAATTTTAAACTTTCTTCAATATTCCATGGATATCTATAACCAATTGAATCAAAAGCATCACCTTCATGAACAGCTTTAATGTTTTGTAAATATTTTTTATCTTCAGGTTCACCTGCAACTAGCGGATCTTTAATATAAAAAGTATCTTGTAAATCACGAGCAGGATGTTGTTGTGGAACGAATAAAGTATCAAAATTCCAGAACCCAGTTTCAACATATTGATTTGATGGCATTTCACTGAAACCTAAAGAAAAGAAAATTTGTCTAAATTCTTCACGAACTTTCATTAATGGATGTAAAGCACCAGAATCTGGAGAAACACCTTCAGAATTAAAATTATAAGGTTTAAATTTAGCATTTTCCCATGATCCATTTATAATCATATCACTTGTGATATCAGTTTCTAATTTTTCAATTTCTAAACTAAATTCAGGACCTTTCTCTACAGAAAATGACTGAATTTTAGAAACTGTAGCTAATTTTCTTTTTTTCAAATCAGCTAATTTTTTAGAATCTGATAAAGTACCTTGATCTTGTAATTGTTTTAATTCTAATGCAGTTTCATCATTTGGTAAGTTGGATTTATCTAATTTATCATTAATAATTAATTCATCACCATTTTTACTAATCCAACCATTTTTAAAAGCTTTACCTTGACCCATTTTACCAGCAGGACCCAAGACATTACCAACTTCTGAAATTTTCAAATGTTCTAATTTTAAAACGGTCTCTAGTAATCTATATTCATGGGACCCATTTGAAACGATATCTTGACCTTCTTGAGTTAAATTCCATTGTTCTTTATCAATATTTTTATATGTAATTTTTTGACGAGCTAATAAAGAGTTTAAAGCAGCTTGAACTTCTTGAGAAGTTTTATTTGGGAAAGTTTCCAAAGTGTTTGCGATTGGACCTTGGGAATCCAAGGTCTTTAAGATTGTCAATTGTAATTCAGACATGGTCTTTTGAAGTCAACAATCAAATTCAAAATCAAATCCAAAACAATTTTCCAATGTTGAATTTAATTTTAATTTATGGTTCATCAGAAAAACAGAAAACTAAAAAAATCAAATTCGCGAAGATTATTCACGCTGAGAATTTTTTTTACCCGGTGATTCTCAGTGGGAAATTGAACAAAATTGAGTGGTTTTGTATGGGGAATTGTGTGGAAAATGGGTGAGAAGGACAGCGTAGTGATATGACAATAATAGATTAATGTATATAATTTTTATGATGAAATTTCCATTAAATCCATAGAAAATCAGTGTTTTCCACCAATTTTCTAAGGAAGATTTGATTACAGAACCGTTGAGTTGGCAGAGTATTCGCGAATTTTGGCGTATATTTTGGAACTTGAATTTACGCTTTTGATTAGAATTGTGAATTGAATTGGAAGACAAGATCTTTTGGATCATTTAGACTTGGTATATTGGTTATTTGAGTGGTGCTTGTTGTGTGAGAGATCAAGATTTTAAGGGATAGCTTTTTTTTTCTGGGAAAATTTCAATATATTTAACTAGTTATAATAATAATGGACGTTAGTGCTTTAACAAATCATGATGATACATCAAATGGTAATCAATTGGGGAAACAAGTAGATCAAGGTATAGGATCATTAGTGAATAAAGAGAATATTGATAAGAAAGAAGGTGAACTCCCTAAGAATGATGATAAGAATGGTAATGAAAGTGATAGTACATTATCTGATGTTGATTCAATTAAACCAAATAATGATGATGATGGAGATTTAACAGATTTTGAAATATCAGATGATGATGATGATGATGATAATAATAATGTTGATTCTAAGAAATTGTCTTGTATAATACCGGATTGTTCTCAAAATTTTAATAAATCTGATTTACTTTCCACACATATAAAAGAAACTCATCCAAATGCATCAAATCTTTCAATTCAATCACCATATTGGATTAAATTTTTAAAGAATTTCCAAGAAAAAAATAATAAAAACTCATCATTAGGTGAGAATGAACTAATTGATATTGAAAAAAGTCTTGAAAGATATTCAACTTTCAATAATCAACAAGATTTCCAAGATTCATTAATTAATGATTCTAAAATTGTTAATTTTAATGATATTCATAATATTGAATTCATAGATTTAATTGAACAAACTCCCAAAAGACAAAAAAATTCATTAACTGATATAAATTCAAATTTACAAAAATCATTTACCAAAGATGATGAAGATTTTAAATCATATATTTCAAATATCACAAAAAATTCATTTCAAAACCTAGAAAGCACATCTAATGATTTACCACCAAATGAAGAAATCGATTCAATTGAAAACATTGATGATTTGAAAAATTTATATGATTCATTAAAAAGGAAATATACTTGGTCATTAGAAGTTGAACAATTAATAACGAATGATTTAATTAATTTAAAGAAAACTCATGAAAATCAATGGAATAAAAATCAAATTTTATTAAATGGTCATATTGAATTAGAAATTGATGAAAATCAATCATTATATCAAATGAAATGAAATGAAATAATATAAAATAAAATGGATAATTTGCTTTTTTAGTTTGAAATTTGTAGTTAGTTTATATGAATGTTGTCCAAACCAGGCTCATCGAGCAAATATTCCGCGAAAATCAAAAAAAAATTTATTATACTTATAGAAATTTAAAATTAATTATGGGTTGTGAATTTAAATATTGTTATTTATTAAACAAAGATTAATTAGATATTATTAAATATGGACTCACATCATAGAAATCAACTCTCTCCTATACATGAAACATCCACAACAGCTAGCTTAACAGATACAGAAGATAGTGCATATGATAAATATGGATTAGATGAATTATTTGATCAACTAAGGAAATCAAATTCAAATAAAACAAATAAAGTTGATAAAGAAGAAGATGGTGATGAATTTAGTAAAATTAAAAAATCTATTGCTAAACTACCCAAAATTCAAGAAAATGATGAAACATTATCTGATAATTTTTCTAAATCAAGAACATCTGATAATAAGACTAAATTTGGAGGAAATATTTCTATAATAAATGATTCTATTCAAATTTCCAAAAAACCATCAACCAATGTAAAGGAAACTTCAGGTTCAAAATGGTTTGATATGCCAAAGGGAGAATTAACACCATCTATCAAGAGAGATTTGAAAATCTTGGAACAAAGAGCTGCATTAGATCCAAAGAGACACTATAAAAAAGATAAATGGAAAACTCCTGAATTTTTCCAAATTGGTACTATTGTTGAAGGTAATACAGAATATTATTCTGCAAGATTGAAAAATAAAGAACGTGAACAAACTATCCTGGAAAGTGTTATGAATGATGAAGATACAAAACATTATTTTAAAAGAAAATATGATGAAGTTCAAATAAAGAAAACTTCTGGTAAAAAAGCTCATTATAAAAAAGTTAAAGAAGCAAGACGTAAGTTTTGAAGTAAGCATCGATTATATAGTAAATACATATGATTTATATGATTTATATCAAATTAAATCAATTTAATTGTAGTTTTAGACCTGTTACCTATATACTTATTATTTCCGAGGGTTTCAATGGGTTGTTCACCTGACAACATTATTTCTTAACTATGGTACTTCTATGACAACCACCTCGGAATATACCATATCGAGTAAAAACAAAACTTACCCGCCAATTTTTGTTTTGATGTTTGATTTTTTTTGAATATGTGGATTTAATTTTTTCTTTGAAATCAGAAATCAAAATTGAAATCAGAAATTGAAAGATTCTTATAAATTCAAAGAAGAAGTTGAAATTCAAATCTTTTATTTGTTTTTGGAAAAGATCTTTAAATTGGATTGAATTTGATTTGATTATTTGTTAATTAATTCCTGTTTTTATTGAAGCAACCATTCACTTGTGTCAAATATTGAAGGCAAAAGAACCCAGATCAACAAGCCAATTGTGAGTATTATAGCTAAACAAAGTGTGCTGATTACGATTAAATAAGTGGAATTAGGCGGCTATATACAAATATTTTGAACTAGTTTCCCATTTCAATTGTGTTTGTTGTTTGTTGATTATTTTGTTTTGGAATTTTCCTACGCTGATTCCATATTTTGATCTAGATCACATATTTTGATTTCGTGAAAAGAAAAATTTATGAAATTAACACACATTTTAGATCCTTAAATAAAGAAGAAAGAGATATAAAGAGATATAGATATAACCAAAATGAGTGATATTAGTGTGATTCTTGAAAATGCGATCTTAAGTCCTGATCCAGTTAAACGTAATGAAGCTGAAGCTCAATTAAAGAGTTTATCTGAAGAAAATTTCTTAATGTATATTGGTTTATTAACTCAAACTCTTGCTGATGAATCAATTAAACCTGAAGTTAGAATATTAGCTGGTATTCAATTGAAAAATCAATTGACTTCAAAAGATCAACAAAAGAAAAAACATCAAGCTGAACGTTGGATAAGTTTAGATCAAAATTCTAAATCTCAAATTAAAGAAATTTCTTTAAAAGCTTTATTAAGTCCTATTGATAGGGTTGCAAATTCTGCTGCTCAATTAGTTGCTGCTATTGCTGATATCGAATTACCAAGACAAGAATGGAATGATTTGATTGGTATAATTGTCGAAAATACTAAACCTGAAAAACCTGAACATGTTAAACGTGCTTCTTTATTGGCTATTGGTTATATTTGTGAAACTTCTGATCCAAATGATGCTGGTGTTGTTAGTCAATCTAATGGTATCTTAATTGCAATTGTTCAAGGTGCCCAATCTTCAGAAACTTCTAAAACTGTTCGTTTAACCGCATTAAATGCTCTTGTTGATTCTTTAGAATTTATTAAATTTAATTTTGAACGTGAAGGTGAAAGAAATTATATCATGCAAGTTGTTTGTGAAGCTACTCAAGCTGATGATGATGATTTACAAGCTGCTGCTTTTGGTGCTTTAGCTCGTATTATGTCTTTATATTATTCTCATATGAGTGTTTATATGGAAAAGGCACTTTATGGATTAACAGTTGCTGGTATGCAAAATAAAAATGAACAAGTTGCTTGTATGGCTGTGGAATTTTGGAGTACAGTTTGTGAAAATGAAATTGAAATTGCCCTTGAAAAAGAAGAATTCCCAGATTCTCCATTAAATTCTTATAATTTTGCAATTGTTGCCCTTCAAGATATTTTACCAACTTTATTTCAATTATTAACAAGACAAAATGAAGATTTAGATGATGATTCTTGGAATGTTTCAATGGCTGCTGGTGCTTGTTTACAATTATTTGCTCAAGATACTGGTAATTATGTTGTTCAACCAACTTTACAATTTGTTGAAGCAAATATTAGTTCACCAGAATGGAGAAATCGTGAAGCTGCAGTTATGGCATTTGGTTCAATCTTGGATGGTCCAGATAGAGAACAATTAAAAGTATTAATTGGTCAAGCTTTAATTCCAATCTTAAATTTAATTCATGATGAAAATTTACAAGTTAAAGATACTGTTGCTTGGTGTATTGGTAGAATTGCTGATTTAATTATTGATGCTATTGATATTGATCAACATTTACCAATTGTTATTCAAACTATTATTAAAGGTTTACAAGATCATGGTAAAGTTTCTACAAATTCTTGTTGGACTTTAATAAATATTGTAGAAAAATTAAATCAAAGTGCTCAACATGATGAAACTTCTCCATTATCTAAATATTATTCAAATTTAGTTCCAATTTTAATTCAAGTTTCTGGTAGAGGTGATAATGAATATAGTGCAAGAGCTTCTGCATATGAAGCTTTATCTACATTAGTTCTGTTTAGTGCTAATGATGTTATGCCAATTGTTAATAATATTGCTCAAGAAGTTTTAACAAGAATTGAACAAACTGTTCAATTACAATCTCAACTTGTTTCAAATGAAGATAAATCTAATCTGGAAGAATTACAATCAAATATTTTAAATTTATTAACAAATATTATTAGAAGAGTTGGTTCAGAAGTTGCTCCAGTATCTGATAATTTAATGGAATTATTTTTAAAATTATTACAAGCTCAACAACAAAATTCAAGTATTGAAGAAGATGTTTTCATTGCTATTAGTGCACTAGCAGGTTCAGTGGGTCAAGATTTTAATAAATATATGACTGCATTCTTACCATTCTTGACTAATGCATTAAATCAAACAGAATCACCAGTTTCAAATACTGCTGTGGGATTAGTTGCAGATATTTCTCATTCATTAGGTGAAAATTTCATTCAATATTCTGAAGGTTTATTAAATATCTTGGGTTCAATTGTTTCAAATAATAACGTTAGAAAAGAATTAAAACCATTTGTTTTATCATCATTTGGTGATATTGCTTCAGCAATTAATTCACAATTTAAACCTTATTTACAAGTTGTTTTTGAAATTTGTCATGGTGCACAAAATTCTCAACCTGAAAATTCATCAATTGAAGCTTTAGATTATGTTTTAAATGTTCGTGAATCTGTTTTGGATTGTTATGTTGGTATTGTTGGTGGATTACATGAAGAAGCTGATGCTTTATTCCCATTTGTTCAACAAATTTTTGAATTATTAGCAACAATTAATGAAGATCCAGCATTAACTTTATCAGAAAGTGTTTCAAAATCTGCAGTTGGTTTAATTGGTGATTTAGCACAAATTTTTGCAGATGGTAGAATTAAAACTGCATATAATCAAGATTGGATTACACAATTGATTAAAAAGACAAGAAATAATCCAAGTTTCCAACAAAATACTAAAGATACTGCAAGATGGGCAAGAGAACAACAAAAACAACAAATTAATTTATAAGTTCCCCACTTATAATTTGTTGTTTTTCGTTTTTGGTTCAATTAAATCATTTTTTTCCACTATTTTCATTATTATTTTACATCTCACCCTTTTTTGCATTCATTTTTTACAAATCATCTCTCTCTCATATTTTTTCATAGTTTTTCACAAATTTTTTGAAAAAAGTCTTTTATAAATTATTTAAAAATTTATATAGACTCATATACCCAAAGTTATTAATTTTATGAAATCTTTTTTACTATTATTTATAATGTCATTTTACTTTTTTTCTTTTTCAATTACACTTTATCATGATCTCTCTATTTCTTATCTCTAATGTCTCTTCTCTATTCATAGTTTTTAAGTTCTTCTTACTCGTCATCTCATAAATTTCTCTCTTATACATATACAAAGTTTAATAAATTATTAAGTCAATTATCATATGATATATAGCTTACAATTAACCCAATTATAATTAGACCTAAATAGTAACTATATCTTACACATAAATGACGTTCTGTCGACAATATTATAAATGACCGATCATTATAATTATGCTCTATTACTATATAGATCTAAAGTATCTACAAAAGTTTCATTAAAAGGTCTTCCAGTTTGACAACACCCAATAATTTCAAAGTTATAGTAAGTTCTTCTCTCAAGATATCAATGACTTTTGAAGTACCTTCTTCACCATAAGTTTGTAAAGCATAAAGAAAAGATCTTCCTAAACCAACACTTGTTGCACCCAATGCTAAAGCTTTAACGATATCTGATCCTCTTCTTATACCACCATCAATCAAAATTTCAGTCTTGTGATATAAGTTTCTTTTTTTCAATTCTGGTACAATTGTTGATAAAACTTCAATACTTGATCTAGTTGTATCTAATTGTCTTCCACCATGATTTGAAATGACAAACCCTTCAAACCCAAGCTCAACAGATTTGATAGCATCTTCAACAGTTTGGATCCCTTTTAATATGATTTTCAAGCTTGTAGATTGACGTATCTTGATTAAATCATTCCAATTCAAATCAGATGCAAATATCGCTGGAATTTTTTCATAATGTGATGTATCACGGATACGTAATTCATGTTCTCTTTTACCTAAAGATGCAACATCAATAGTAAAGAAGATGGCTTTAATTTTACCAGTTTCTTCAGCTTCTTTAATCTTTTCCAAAATTTCATCAACGGTTTTTCTAAGGTTTAATTGTAACCATTGATCAACTTTTCCATTATTATGTGAATCAACTTGTTTTTGTAGAGGAATGGTACTTAATCCTGGAATCATTTGGGTCAAATTGTTTTTCCCAGCAGCTCTAGCAAGAGGTAATTCACCTTCATTGTTACCATCAAATGAAGCACCATGGAAAGCAGTTATATAAAAAGGTAAAGATGAATATGAACCCAAGACATTTGTTTCTAATGAGACTTGAGAAACACTTCTCAACACTCTTGGTTTGAAATAGATTCTTTTAAAAGCTTTTTGGTTTTCCCTTAATGTTATTTCATCTTCAGCTCCAGTTCTATAGTACGCAAAAGTTTCAGGTGTTAATGACTTTTGGGCAATTGATTCAAAATCGTTCAAATTGAAGACTCTTGATAAATCAGGCTTAGTATATGTTAATTTACCATCTTTGGATTGAAGTTTTTGAATTAGTTTAAATTTCAAATCTGCGGGAAGATTAGATAACTTATAAGCATGATTTTGGATAATGACGAGATCATCGTCATTGATCTCAATCTCTTGTGTCATGATTTGTGAGTTAGATTGAGGGTCCTAATGGATAGAGAGAGACAATGGAGAGTCCAAAACATTGGTTAACCAAATATTTGCTTTGACTAGTTACAACTTTATAATAAAACGCAGTCACCACAGTTTCCTAATGTAGGATCACAGGCGATAACTCATACCACACTTAAGGGATTTCAATTTGGAAAGTTTCATGAGGGTAGCATTGTATTACTAGCTGCGAGTATAATTCATCATTCGTCCATGTAACAATATATTGATGGTAGTACTTGTGTCAATTGAATTTTGTTCAATTCTTGACCTGCCAAATTAATAGATTTAGCTCTGGCATAATTGGCTTCATCAAGCTGGAGAGATTGATAGTGAAAACATATTGAAGTAGCTTTATAACAGGTATGTTTGAATGTCTAACAAATAGCGATTTGACCAATTGGTGTTATTTGATGGAACTTTGATAATACCAGTGCCTAGCTGATGGAGGATGATATGAGACTTGAGTTTATAATTACCCCGGATTTTAGATATTAATGTTCTCAAATTCTGAATATAAACTGCAATAGATCGATATTATGAAAAGTGAGTAATTATATGATCTTATTGAAATTGAGAAGTTTCAGAGTTTTAGTTGTTCGTCTTGATTACATTCACTTTAGTCTTATCGTTTTATACCAGATTATCATTTTGGTGATCAGAGTTGTAATGAGTCGAATTGGTAACTACTTGTAGATCTATGTTATATATTCTCAATTCTGTTGAAGCCCTCTAAACAAAAAGTTTAGATCATTGGATCTTCATACAAGATTATCATTTTTTCCGTATAGTTTTGTTTCCGTTGAATGGCGTTGGCGTATACTTAATGTTCTCAATATTGAATATTATGATAATCAAAATGAAGGCTATTAATGAGTATAAAAGACACTAAAAATTCATCATAATGGTTTAAATTATTCAAGACCTGTACTCAAGACCATTATAACTAGTAAAATGGGGTCTTCTTCAAAATCTAATTCAAATGAATCAACAAAACTTGAACTTGTTATTAATGAATTGTTAAAAGATTTGAAATTGAAGAATAAAGAGCTTGAACATCCCTCTACTGAAACCACCACCAATGAAGGTTCTGATGGCTCCAAAGATGATACTTATCCTTTATTGACCCTTGTTGAAAACCTCAAGACTGAATTAAATAAAACTCAAACAAATCATCATGATTTGAGAAAACTTTATCAAGATTTAGTATTTGAAAATAATAAATTGAAAACTTCCAAGAAATATGCAATTTTCAAATCAAAACAAATTGAAAATTCTAGAGATTATTTAGTCAAATCAAACAAGGTATTAATTGAAAAGCAAAAAGAAGAAGAGTTTGAAATTAAAAGATTAAGAACAGAACTTCATCAATTTAAACATCCAATTAGATCCAATTTACAAGGGAATCATATTTTCAAGGCTGTTAAAAACTATTTTTCACAGCAGAATGATGAATTGAAAGATGCAATTAGTGGTAATTCTCCTAAAAATGATCTATCAGTTAGTTCATCAAAAGTTAAATTACCAAAAGTTAAACCATCAAAAAGTTTCCAAACACTTGATCAACTTGAAAAAACCACTAGAGTACATTGGATAGATGTCTTGTTCCTGGTGGGTTTCCTGTTTTTCATTTTCATTTTCCCAATGGTTTCCTCTTCTAAAGTTTAGATCATTGAACTTGGTATTAATGATCATCATAGGTCACTCAATTATAATAGATTAATTTAAAATGTTTTATACTCGTTAATTTTTCAAATATGTAGAGCTCAAACACATTTCCGACGATGACATAAATCCGAAGAAAATATAAAAAAATCAAAATCAAAACATCAACAGATTCAAAACATTAGATCAGAATGATACCAGATAATTAATTGATTTTTGACATTCCACCAAACATCACCGCCATAGCGTTCAATCACCATGTCTGAGCCAAAATTCTTGATCAACAATATGACAAGTTTAAATTATAATCCAGTACCATTTGATGATACTTATGTTCTTTATGATCCTCAAGATCCAATATCAACAATATCAGTTTATTTTTCATTATTACCAATTGGAATATTGATTTTTTATTTATCATGGTTCATTGTGACTAGAGAAATAGAACCAGTTATCATTGCAGGTGGTCAAGTTGTTAATGATATAATTAATAATATTGTTAAGAATATTATAAAAGAAGAAAGACCTTTAGCTATTGATGGATTTCAATCAAATGGGTTAAGATCTGGTTATGGTATGCCAAGTGCACATTCCCAATTTATGGGATTTTTCGCTATATTCTTTACATTGAAGATTTGGTTAAATTGGAAAGATTTAACTTGTATAAGGAAAATTTTAGGTACATTGGGTGTTTATATCCTTGGTTCATTAGTTGCATTTTCAAGAGTTTATTTATATTATCATAGTTATAAACAAGTTGCAGTTGGTGTTTTATTAGGAACTGCAATTGGTGCACCATATTTCCTCGTAACTAGCATTGCTAGATCTTTAGGTTTAATTGATTGGATTATAAGTTGGAAAATTGTTAATTTATTTTGGGTTAAAGATTCAACTTTCCATTCTCCATTAACTTTAAAAGAAGAATATCAATTATGGGAACAAATAAAGGAAAATCAAGTTAATAAAAAGCATAAATGAGTGTTGATATTATAGAGTTATATCGCTAGATTTACATAGAAGGTTAAAATAATTTTGCATTTTAAGAATATTTATATGTAGAACAAAAGTAGGGCAAGAAAAAAGCTCAAAAATTTGCACGTGTAATAGTATATATAGAAAAAAAACAACTAACTTTATATATAGAAACGACCAACAACATCAGCTAATTATGGTTCAACATCATCCATAACAATTCTTCTTGCAACATTTTCATAAGGTGTATAACTAATTTCCACAATTTCATTTCTTGGGAATTTTAAAGAAGGTATATCATAACAAGAACAAGCCATTAAATAACCATACAACACTGCAAGAACAGATTCATGAGCGATAATCAGAATATCACCACTCATTCTTTCCATTTCTAATAATAATGGTTCCATTCTAACAGCTAAATCATGATAAGATTCAGCTCTTGGATAACGATGATGATAAGGATCATTTAAATCTTGTTCATATTCATCTGGGAATTGTGATTTAATTTCATCTTGTGTCATATCTGCAACTTCACCTGGATTTAATTGATTTAATTGATAACGTTCACGAACTGTAATTCCCTTTTGACGGAATGGATTTGCAGTTGATGAAGTTCTTTTCCTTGTTGCAGTCCAAACAACAAATGAATCTTCACTTGATCCATCTGCAGTTGGTGGTTGTCTAATTTTATGTTTTATATTTAAATTATCTGTACTTTGATTTGCAGAATTTGTATTTGAATTGAAATTTGAATTCAAATTTGAATGAGAATTTGTGTAAGCACTAAGGAAAGGTGGATGTATTGATTGTTTATTTGTTGTACCTGATTGACCTAACAAATTATGATTCCCACCAGCCATAACAACATTAACAAATGAAGGTTTTTTCTCTAATTTTTTTCTTTTGGAAACATGATTTAATAATTTTGAACTTAATTTTTCTGAAAATTCTAAACCTGATTTATTTAATTCTTCATCATCAATATATTTATCTAAATCAGATTTACCACATCTTGCAAAATAAACACAACCATTTTTAATTTTGGAATTCATTAAGAAAAACACAATTCTATTAATTAAATAACCATATTGACTATTATTCATGATTAATCGATCACCAAAATTAATAAATTTAATAAAACTTAATGCTGATTCATCTTCATTACCTTCATTCATCTTAATATAAATTGGTGCATTAGTTTTAATTCTATTAATATAATCTTCTTTAGCTTGTTTTGGATTCCAACCAATATAATCAGGAGAACTTGCAGCGTTTGCAACATTTCTTGCTAATAATTCATCATCATCAACAATAGATTCAATAAATAATACTTTTATCCCCTTTGAGCCAAATTCATTTTGTAAATCTAAACGATCTTTTGGTAAGGCATTTAATGCATCATAAATTGCAACTTGACCTTTTTCAATTTCAAAAAAATTTGAAATACCATCAAGACAATCCTTAAGAACTTTTTGTCTTAATTTGATACCAATTTCAGTTTTCGGTACTGCACTAAAATAATCTTGTGGTATATCATCTTCAAAATTTTTATAAACAGCTCTTCTATAATCACCAACATGGAATGGATGAGTCTTAACACCTAACCATCTTAAATAACGAGTAATAGAAACAGCTAAATGAGTTTTACCTCTAGCAGGTAATCCAACAAGAACAATCAAAACTTGACCAGCATGGAATAAACGACCAGATTCAGTTGAATATAATTGAGCAGGGAAAATATGATCCAAAGATAATTTTGAATGAACACCATCAATTGTTGTAGAATTTATTGAATCTCTACGATTTTGTTGTGACCAACGATCTGAAATTCTTGCAGAATAATTTCCTGGTAATTTTGGTTGTTGAATTTGTGTTGATGATTGAATATCATCATCTGAATCAATAGCAGACATTATAACCTTTAGACCAAATCAAATTGAATAACCAAACACACAGAACAAAACAGTAATAACCTGAAATAACCTATGATAGCACCAACACCAAAACAATATCTTTATAGATCTATAATAAATTGTTAGTGGTCTTTTGTGTTTTTGGTGTCTTTGTTTATTGCTGATTTGTCAAATGCTTAAAGGCAAAATGGACGAATTGGAAATCATCCGGGGTATTCGCGAAAAAAAACATTACTATGGATTAAGTAATCACATACACAAAAATTATATAATCCATACAAAAGTTATATATAATACTCAAAAAGGTATTAGAATTAATAGAGACTCTACATTTCAGTATTATTTTATTGCGTAAAATACATTTATTGCTTTAACCAAACCAAATTATATTAAAAAAGATATTTTGTAAAAATTTTTTAAATATAAAAAATTTATTCAGCTTTACCACCTTTTCTTTGGATTAAAGCTTTACGATCTTTATCTAAATGTAATTTTGTAATAACAACTTTTGATGGATGAACGTTAATTGGGATAGTAGCACCGTTTGATTTTTCTTTGGTTAATTTATCAACTTGAACAGCGAATTTTAATCTGTAAACTGATGAAATTTTACCTTCTTGACCTTTTTTAGAACCACGAACAACTAAAACTTGATCTTCTTTTCTAATTGGTAAAGCTTTGACACCATATTGTTCACGTAATTCTTTTGATAATGGAGCTGATAAAAGAGCACGACGAACTGATGATGGAGCTGTGAAATAAGCTTTTCTAGCTTTGCTTCTTGAGCTTGAAACGTCTATAAGGGAATGTTAGTATATAATTCTAGGTGTTGGTTAATAGTGGATAGTTTAGATAAAGAGATGATGTTATATGGTTATTATCTTTGTTATATGGTGATATTGAATATGTCTAATGTCATAGTTTTTGTATTTACTTAATCTTGAATCTGTATGTATATGAAATTCTTGTATAATGTGATAAACCTTGAATAGTTCCAATACTTCATAATGATATATTCTCTTTATTCTGATTCTTTTATAGTTCTCTTCTTGTTTGTATAATACTATTGATTTTTTACATTCTTGTTGAGTCTATTAGGTTTTATAGTATAATTCCTTTCCTCTATAATGATACAACACCCTATTCCCTAATACAAAAATATTCTCTTCTTTGTCTCCACTCTCTTCTCTCATCCTGTCCACATAGTACTTCTATCACATACCTAATGATTGTTTAGCCATCTTTGATATGTTGTGGTTAACTCTTCCTTAAGATAATGTTAGTTTGTTGTATAGAAATAAGTTTCAATACTTTTTTGTCAAAGCAGGAAACGAAGAGTCTGATGGGAGGTTCTGAGTCAGCGCTTAGTCAGTCGCGCTTTGTTTTTTTCAACTTCAACTTCAGAACACCAGAAAAAAAACTTGTTTTTGTTTGGGGAAAAGCGAGTCTGTTGCACGGGTTGGGAGGAGAGTGGTGTGTGGGTGTAATAATAACAAAAGGGTATAGAGAGTAGCCCTAAATGAGTATCATGTGATATATCTAGGGCATGTGATTGTCAATGTTTATTGTTATTGTTTATTTTCAAAACAATACTTTGTCTTTGATTAAATTAATACATCACAACAACACATTTGAGCAAGAATATTATCGTTATATTATAGGATACAATTAAACAGGATAGTGTTGAAGAAGACAGTGGATGAAATTTGATGTTTAGTTTCACTGAGGTCAGTGGCTTCGTTCAATGATCAATTAAGCGCTGAAATTTAGTTCGTATGAAAGTCAAACAGTTACATGTGTCACAAGTTGTGAATAGCAGATGTTCGATTTAATCCCTTGTTTTAGAGTATTGATGATACATCAGAAGCTCTGGCTTGGATATAATGGATTGATCTTGACCAATGGGTGTGATAGTATCGAGTTAAAACTTAAGACAATTAGAGTATGTTTTTAAGAGCTCTTAACATTATATTTAGGCGCCATTGTGATTTATAGATTATTTTCCATACATTATTTGGTTGGTTAGATGAGAAATATGACCATATACCAAGTGGGACTACACGTACTGTCATTGATTTGGAGGAGCTTTAGATATTGGATCATGTCAGAGTACTATAGATTCAACGTTGACAATTTATCACGTTTGGTTAGATGTGATAGCATTGGTATATGGAATCTGGTTAGTATACACAAAAAAAAACATGGTATTTATGTCCTTATGAATAATTGAACCACTGTATCTATACAACATCAACAAAAAAAAAAACAAATCTTCAACATCACCATCATTTAATACCTTTCAACATCATTTTACAAAATAAAAATAGTTTAAAATAAGTTGGTTTGAGACCAAAATTGCCCATTTTAGGCCCCTCCCGGGGATCGAACCCGGATCAGATTCTCCGGAAAAAACTATGCTAACCATTGCACTAGAGGGGCAACCAAACCAACTGCGCCACGAGAGCACTTTGATCGGATTTAACAGCGGTTTTCGTACCATTTTACATCTGAGGCAAGGTCGGAATTGGCACTGCATTCACGTGACTTGAATTTACCCTCGATTACTGTTTTAGGAAATGTTATTACTTTTGAATTTAAATTAAACGCGTCAGATTTTTCAATTTAGGTAATTTTAAAATCGATATACAAGATATCTTTGTTTACCTTCTGATAAAAAGATACTTGACCATCAACTACAACATCAACATCATCAACATCATCAACACAGTATAATGTCATCACCTGCTGTTTCTTTACCTCCTTCATCTATCGCTGGGAATAATGCTGCTGGTTCAAATTTATTCAGTGATTTAACAAATAATGATCATGATGCAAATAGAGATCCAAATGAACAAAATTTAGAAGATCCAAATCCTCAAGTTGATAGAATTAGAAGAAGAAATTTAGGTAACATTGCAAAAGTTATTGACTTAACAGGTGAAAAAGTTCGTGAAGCTTTTGAACAATTTTTAGAAGATTTTACAATTGAAATTTCAAATGAAAATGCAACACAAGATGAATTAGAAATTAATGAAAGATTTAAAGGGAAAATTTATTTAGCTCAATTAGATTTAATGAAAGCAAATGATTCAAGTACCATTTATATTGATTATAATCATTTAGTTACTCGTGAAAATGGTGTTTTAGCTGCAGCTATTAAAGATCAATACTATAGATTTTTACCTTTTTTACAAAAAGGTCTTAGAAAAATCATCAAAAGATATACACCAAGATTATTAGAAATTGCATCAAATGGGATCATATCAAATGATTCTGCCAATGATTTAGATCCACAAGCTTCAAGTATTAATCAAAATGAACGTATAATTCAAATAAGTTTTTATAATTTACCAGAATTATTAAAGATCAGAGAATTAAGAGGTGAACAAATTGGTGCATTAAGTTCCATATCAGGTACTGTGACAAGAACTTCAGAAGTTAGACCTGAGTTATTTAAAGGTTCATTCATTTGTGATAATTGTAGAGCTATAGTGGAAGGTGTTGATCAAATTTTCAAATATACAGAACCAACACATTGTCCAAATGCAGAATGTGGGAACCAAGCTTATTGGTCATTAGATATTTCTAAATCACAATTTGTTGATTGGCAAAGAGTTAGAGTTCAAGAAAATTCAAATGAAATTCCTACAGGTTCAATGCCTAGAACTTTAGATATTATCTTGAGAGGTGAATTAGTTGAAAGAGCAAAACCTGGTGATAAATGTAAATTTGTTGGTACTGAAATTGTTGTTCCTGATTTATCACAATTAGGTATTCCTGGTGTTAAACCTTCATCTATAAGAGATTCAAATACAAATACAAGAAATGATGGTTTAAATTCAGGTGTTTCAGGTTTAAAAGAATTAGGTGTTCGTGATTTAACTTATAAAACTGCATTTTTAGCATGTCATGTATCTTCAATGATTACAGGTGAAGATATTGATAGAATTTTCAATAAATTTGATAATGATGATGAAAATGATGAATTTAAAAATGATAATGATCAAGCTAAATTTTTAGGAAGTTTAACAAAACAAGAAATTGATGAATTAAAAGAAATGGTTAAAGATGAACATATTTATTCAAAATTAGTTTCTTCAATTGCACCAGCTGTTTATGGTCATGATATTGTTAAAAAAGGTGTCCTGTTACAAATGCTTGGTGGTGTTCATAAAAAAACAGTTGATGGTATTAATTTAAGAGGTGATATTAATATTTGTATCGTTGGAGATCCATCAACTTCAAAATCACAATTCTTAAAATATGTTACAAGTTTTGCACCAAGATCTATTTATACTTCAGGTAAGGCATCATCAGCTGCAGGTTTAACAGCTGCTGTTGTTAGAGATGAAGAAAGTGGTGAATTTACAATTGAAGCTGGTGCTTTAATGCTTGCCGATAATGGGATTTGTTGTATTGATGAATTTGATAAAATGAATTTAAACGATCAAGTTGCAATTCATGAAGCTATGGAACAACAAACTATTTCAATTGCTAAAGCTGGTATTCATGCTACTTTAAATGCAAGAACTTCAATTTTAGCTGCTGCAAATCCAATTGGTGGTAGATATAATAGAAAATTTGGCCTTAGAGCAAATTTAAATATGACTGCACCAATTATGTCAAGATTTGATTTATTTTTCGTTATCTTGGATGATTCAAATGAACGTACAGATACTTTATTAGCAAGTCATATTGTTGATTTACATATGAAAAGAGATGATGCAATTGATCCACCATTTTCTGCTTCACAGGTTTTACGTTATATTAAATATGCAAGAACTTTTAAACCTAAAATGACAAAAGAAGCAAGAGATTTCCTTGTTGAAAGATATAAAGAATTAAGATCTGATGATGCCCAAGGGTTTGGTAGATCATCTTATAGAATTACTGTTCGTCAATTAGAATCTTTAATTAGATTATCAGAATCTATTGCAAGAGCAAATTGTGTTGATGAAATTACACCAACTTTTGTTGCTGAAGCTTATGAATTATTAAGACAATCAATTATTAGAGTGGAACATGATGATGTTGAAGTTCCTGAAGATGAAGATGATGAAGATGCTCAAAGACCACCGGAACAACAAGATCAAGCTGAAAATTTACAACAAGATCAAGATGCTGAAGGTGATCAAGATATGAATGATGGAAATGATCGAGATGATGGTGCTTCAAAGAAGAAAAAGAAATTAGTCATATCATATGAAAAATTCACCAAGATTGTTCATATTATTGTTCCGAAAATTGCAGAAGTTGATCGTAATAATGAAGAAGCAATGACACTTGATGCAATTGCAGATTATTATTTACATCAAATTGAGTCAGAATTAGATACAGAATCTAAATATTGGAATGAAAGAGAAATTGTTTTCAAAGTTGTTAAAAGATTAGTCAAAGAAAGAACTTTAATGAAGATCAGAGATGAATTAGACTCTGAAACTTTAGAAGAAAGACAAGAAACTGAAAGTGAACGTGAAATAAGATTAAGTGAAGCTAGAAAACAATTAAAAATGCGTTATGTCTTACATCCAAACACTGCAATTATGGAAAATTTTGCACCAGAAGCTGAACAAGAAGAAAATTAAGCTTCTTGTGGATGATTGATTTGTATAATAGATGGGTTTTTATCGGTTCATGTTCATAATAATTTGTTAAGTTTAATGTATGTTTGATTTTGATATAATAGATGTATTTTAGAATTACCAATATTTGTGCTATAATCTCCAGAATTGCACTATAAGGTACTCAAAGACTAGCACAATCAGCCCATGATATCCAATAAGATCAAGTAACTTCGTCCCCATCTAAACCACCTCTGTTCTTCCTTTTCAACCCCATAGTTTCTTCATCTCTTAATTTTTCGCGCATCAATTCTGGAACCGAAACTTTTTTCAACAAAAACTTTAAAACCAAAGAAACTCAATTATGGGTCAATAAAATACGTATCATTAGAAAACAACTATCAGATCAAAAAATGTTCTCAATTGTGACAAGATCAGCTTGTAAGAATGCTCAAAGATCCATTCTTCTGGTGAAAACTTCACCTATAAAGATTTTATCAATTTCTAATCTCAATTCATCAAGATCTATTTTAACTAATCGTCAATATTCATCAACTACTGATTCATCCAATTCATCCAATTCAAATACAAATCAAAAAACTAAAAAAGATTCCAAACCAAAGATCCCACTATGGGCAAGAATTAAAACAGCTTCAACTTTTGCCATAGCTACAACTGTTGTATTAGGTGCCACTGGTTTAGCAGGTTTAGTTATTTATTTAGTAGTTTCAGAAATTGTTTTACCATCAGGGGATACTCAAGTTTTCAATAAAGCTGTTGGATTAATTGAAAAAGATGAAAAATGTCAAGAATTATTGAATTTAGAAAAAGGTTCAAGATTAAAAGCTTATGGTGAAAGTAGTGATAATAAATGGACAAGAAATAGACCAATTTCTTCAACAAGACGTATGGATAAATCTGGTAAAGAACATTTATTTATGAGATTTCATGTTGAAAGTCCAACTAAACATGGTTCTGTTCAATTGGAAACTATCCAAGCTGATGTTTTACATCCTGAATATTCTTATATTTATTTAGATGTTCCTGGTGAAAAAAGACAGTATATCATAAATCCTCCAAGACCAAATTTATTAGGTTCAAGGGATCAAAATACAGGATTTTTGGGTGTTAAATGGGGTCCAAAATCAAGTTAAAACTAATGATATATAATGAAGACATATACCCACTTGCCCTTTTTAATGAATCCATTTATTATGATTTTGCATCAAATATATTAACAATATTCCCACACATTACACAAATGAAAATCAAAAATATCACTGTTAAGCAATTAAAAAATTCATGTTATTGATGATTGTATAACTATACATATTAAATTATTATATTAAATTAAAAAAATATCAAACCCCATCCTTATGAATTTGTATTATACAACGATTTTCAAAACAACAGCCATAGCCTAATCAAGGAATGGTAAAATAAAGACAAGAACCAAAGAAATCAATGCAATTGTATTCAAATTACTATAGAATTGAATCTGTGAAGCTTTGTTTTCTAATTCATCACCTGTATAGTTTCCTCTACCTAAAGTGCCATTGCGTCCAATGGTTACATTGTTTGATTTACCTGAAGTCTTAGATTTTATCTTCTTTGCATCATTAGCTTTCAAGACATCTAAACATGTATCACCTGTTAATGTCAATGTACTTTCTAATTCATTTTGAGTTGCAAGTTTATTGTTTAAAACAGCAACCCCTTCAAAATCACAAGTATCAGGTTTACCACCTAACTCTAAGAACACTTCATTGATAACATAAGATGCCTTTTGTCTTGATGAACAATCTGAGAAGAATCCATAAGATCCTAATTTACCATCACTGTTAATAGCTTCACAATCAACAATATTACATGCATAATCGAAAACATGAGTCAAATTATCACTTCTAACAAATGGTGCAAGGCCACATTGTAGGGAAGATTCCAAACATTCACATTTGACTTCATCTGGAGTATGTGGAATTTCTGATGAAGATTCCCATGATTTAGTTGAAATTGGACAATTTGGGAATTTTGGCTCTTTATATAACTCTTTATATTCATCAATTGTTGCGCCTTGTGGATCAACTCTATTGAATTCACGTTCAAGGTTTTGGAAATCTGGTAATTCTTCAACAACACCATCTGAAACCTTTACAACACCATATTGATTTGGTTCTTCAAAATACATATAAGCAATACCACCTGACCAAACATGATTCATTAAACGACTGTATAAAACATCAACTTCAGTAAAAGGACGTGGTCTTTTAACGTTACAACCAAACTCAGAGAAGAAAATTGGAACTGGATAATCTTTGAATTCTTCTGTTCTATCCTTGTAACCACTTGACCAATAAGTGGAATGACCACACCATTCATACATGTTAATACCATAGAAATCAGCTTGAACATCACCACAAGCAAAAAAGTCTGCAACATTGGCTCTTGTTTCAGCATCATCATTGGTTGAATAACCAACAGGAATCTTTCTATAGCCCTTTTCATCAATATAGCTCTTGACATCTCTGATTGATGATTTGACAAAAGGTGAAGCGAATGTATTTGTTTTGTCATTTGTAACTTCATTACCAGCAAAGAACCCCAAGACATTTGGATATTTGTGTAAAGAATCAACAACTTTCTTATATCTATCAAAGATAGTAACATCCCAAGTTGGAGAATCTCTAATAACAGAAACATCTGGTTCACTTAAATCTGCAATAACGTAAATACCAGCTTTTTCAAATGCTTCCATACAAACATCATGATCCAAATCTGTATCAATGGAATAAACACGAACGGTATTGACACCTAATCTTTGTAAATAATCAAGATCTCTAAGACAAATCTTTGGTTCACCTAATGGATCAATGAACTTGATATTACCAGAATCTAATGCAACAATATCACCAGCGACTTTACTTGGTTGATAAGCAATACCTTTGATAAAAAATTGATTCCCATCTTCAACGGTGAAAAACTTGCTACCAAACACTTCAATTGTTGAAAGACCACCAGAGCTTGATCTAGTACTTGAATCTTCATTTTCTTTCAGATCATAATTAGTTAATTTTGGTGATTGTGTTGAGTTTGAATCTAACAGTGATAATCGACCATTCTTGATATTAATGGCGGCGGAAGCCAAAGACAGTAATGCCAACTTCAAGACAACTTTTGGTAACATTATGGCAGTAATGGGTTGAAAATAGCACTTTAAAGCTCTTGATATCAAATGATTCAATTCATGATTCCATTTATGTCCATTGTAAAAGCTCTCCAGTCCAAATAGTTGAGATTCACATGCTGATTTTTTAAATTGACACAAAACCAATTTAACCTTTTTGTGTCCGCCCATGAATTATACCAGCAAAGAAAACCATAGTAACCACAAAGCAAATACTAAAAATCAAATAACCAAAAAAAAAACTACAAAACTTGTTAAAGTCCAAAATAATATATTGTATCATACACAAAAGAAATATAGTTATAAAAATGAGAATATCGAAACAATCGATAATAATGAGAAAAATAAGATCAAAATCAAATTCAGAGTAAACGATAATTTTTTTCAACTTCAACAAATCAAAACCCTCTTCTATAACAAAGCCTCCCCATTTAACATAAAAGATAAATAAAAGAATCTTGATGAAATAATTTGAAAAACAATCATTGTTTATCTAAACCAAGCGCTATTGTACATTATTGAATTTGTAATTTTTGTAATTTTTTTGTTTTGGATTTGCTAAGTTGTATGATCAACATCAACCTTAAGCTTTTGTAGAATAAGATGACATTGATGGAGTTGAGGTATAATAACCTGATAATGTAGAAGCACTTGGACCAGTATCATTGTTACTTTGTTTTCTTGGTTGAACCAAGTTAGCAAATGTACCAGTCAAGCCTGAACCAAGATCATCTTTAATGAATCTACCTGCAACAGCTGGACCAGCAATACAAGCAATGAAGATAATCAAAATCAATAAGTATAAGGCAAAGTATTTTCTAACCATTCTCTTTCTTAATTTAGCTTGTTTCAATGAGTAAATTGGTGGACGAATTTGTCTGGAAGGTTTCAACCAGAACAACATAACTGAATGCCATCTATCCATTAATGGAACTAAAATCAATGGGAATTGAATGAATAATAAGATATGACCTAGAACGAAATCAGCAGCAAATTCTGACAATTCAATGACTTTAGCAGTGAATTCTCTGGCTGGTTGTGACAAAGCAGCCCAACCCATACCTTTACCGTACCATTTACCAGTCCAGAAAGCAGTGTTAGCATTATCACTCTTCAATTCTCTAGTCAACATAAATGCAGTCATTAATTTAAAGATAAATCTTTGACAGTAGATAGAAGTAGCAACACCTAATAACATTCTAGCGAAATTGAAACCTTCGAGAACCCACATAACAATAAAGAAAATGATGTGAACAATAACTGCAACACCATGGGCAATACCAGCCATAACAGAACCAGTCTTTTTACAACACATACCAAACAATGGACCTGAACAACAAGACATGGCTAAACAAAAGAACAAGACACCCATATCAATAGCAATTGGAGCTAAAGTACAGATAACAACACGTAAAGCTGAATTAACTGGATCAACATCTTTAACACCGTTTTGAGCATTAATGAAAGTAAATGCAACAAAACAACCAGCGGCGTAAATAGTAGTTGGGATAATTTCAGCAAACATAATGTTGGTACGATGAGCTCTTGAAGCATCACCAGCAGCTTTTTCAGATTCTAAACCTAAAACCTTACGTTTGAAACCAGTGATACGTGATCTTGACATACGGACATAACCAATCCATGAATTTCTGTGCCATTTGTTGTTACCTCTTGATAACCATCTGATGTAATCTCTGTAATCAATAAAGAAATCTTCCCAAGCAAATTGATGTGGGTTGAAAATGAATGGTGAGAACATCAATGATGATAATGAAGCCCAGAACCATAATAAAGCTGGTTGCCAATGTGAAACAGTACCGAACAAGATTAATAACATACTTCTAGCACCCATATAAATGGCTGAACCAGCAAATCTTGAGTATAAGACAGAGAATGGAATACGGGCAGTAGCAAAACCACGACCTGTTGAAATATAACGGGCACCACCAACTGATAAATCATTTGATAAAGCTGAAGAATATATTTGACCAACGAAAACTTCAAACATTGGTGATAATGATAACAAATGACGGAAGAATCTTTGGGTAGCTTTCCAAACACCACGTTCAATCAATTCTTGGACAACAATAGGAATGAAAGAAATGAAGAAAACGATGAAAATGGATAAAGTATAACGTCTAACCCAATCAATAGCTGGAGCCAAATTGTAACAACCAATTGGATATAAGATATCAGTAACTGGTTTATTTCTGTCATAAGAACATAAGATAGATTCATGAGCCAATGAGTTTAAGTTAACTAAAGTTAAAATAAACATTTGTAAAGATAATTGAATGAACAAGTTGTTAATATGGAAACCAGCATGAGCATAGTAGAAAGATAAGAATCTATCTAATGGTAATTGAGTACCCAAGTAGTAATATTCACGAGACAACATTTGTTCACCCATACCAGCACCAATCTTGGTTGTGAAATTCAAAATTGAACCAAAACCTAAATCTCTACCTTTACCACATTGGAAATATTCAGAATGTTTAATACGACCACCACGACATAAAGCAGTCATACCTGCATAAATATCTTCATTCAAATGTAAACCTTTTTGAGCTTTAGAGATACCACCTCTAGTAGTCATATAAGTAGCGTTAACGAAATCCGGATGACCATAATGTAATTTACCACCAATTTGAGACAAGGTTCTTGCGAATAAAGTACCGAATGTTTGTTCTTTACCTGCAGCAACATCACCTAAAACACCTGAGTTTTCAGAGAAAATATATTCTCTGGCACCAACAATAGCAACTGGATGGTTCTTGTTTTGTTCTTCAAATTTCAAACCAGGAGCATAAGGATTAACTTGTTCAACATTCATTTCTTCGAATTCAGCCAAGACAGATCTAATCTTCAAACATTCTTCCAAATAGTTATCTTGATTAGCATCAATCAATTGAATATATTCACCACGGTAGAAAATTAAAGCATGATTTTGGTTATCAGATTTACCATCACCAAGAATTGGATTACCAGATAATTGAACTCTGAATTTAGGACGACGACGACCATTTTCAAGAATTTCACAATGACCATCAATTAAAGCAGAATAGATTCTTGGTTCTTCACCTTCATTTAATGGAGGTTCTTCATCCAAGTAAGCAATTTGTAAATCTGGGTAAGCTCTTAATAAGAATTCAGCATTTTCTAATTCTTCTGGTTTGAATTTAGTCAATCTTTGCATAGAAACAACAAATTTGAATTTTCTTCTAGCCATTTTTTCTAATTCTCTTTCTAAACCTTCAGCATTACCACCAAACATTTGAACAATTTCAGGGTTTTCAACTCTGTATAATAATTTAATAGCTCTAGCATAATTCATGAAACCTGAAACAGTACGGTATAATGTTTGTGATCTTAATGAAGCCCAAATACGTGTACGTAAAGTATATTCTGGTGCAGCAGATTTGAAACCAATACAGTAGAATGGTAAATCATCAATTTTAGATTTTAATCCATGTTCATCTTTTTCATCTTCACCATTGTTTTCATATGCAGCAGTTTCTTCAGCTAAAATCTTGGTATCTTTAACAAAACAGTCCCATTCAACAGGATGTAGTTGTTTCAAATATTCTAATAAAGTAACACGAGAGAATTGATCATCTTCTCTAATAATTTCTCTTAATGACAACAAGATTTTTTCAGAATAATGAGGAACCATAACAGTAAATGTTGGCATGTTATCAACTGGTAATGGTTCTGGAATTGGAGTGGCTAATGATTGAGCAAAAAAAGAAATACGACGTTCAGCTTCAGAATTTCTTGGGAAAAATTCAGTTTCAAAATTGTTATCATCTTGAGAAACGAAGAAAGTTGGGGCTCTTAAAGTTCTTTTACCTTCAACTTCTGATGGAACTTGATGATATAATAATTTTTGAACATGATCAATAGCTAACAAATGCTCTCTGTACATAGAAATAACAATAGCATTCCAAACTTGTGAAATCAAAACTTTTGGTTTATATTTGATTTCCATATCAGTGGTGGCTAAAATTTTAGAATAAATTCTCTTTGGTAATCTTGTGAAAATGTTTCTCCATGGGGTTAAAATTGAAATACCCAAGTAGAATGAACGACCAACTGAGAAAACACAGTTACAAACAATGTACCACATATAAGTATCCAAGAAGAATAAAATCAAATCAGTCAAGTACATAAGACCTAATGTGATACGGGCTTGTTGTCTACACAAGACTGAACCCCACCAATATTCACCAATACATCTAGTCATAACCATTGTTGATAAAGTACGAATAGGATCTCTTAAAGATAAAATCAAGAAGAAATAAGATTCAACGTATTTGGCAATGAAAATAACAACCCATAAAAAGTATGACATCCACATATCTAAACCTTTTAATGGAGCAAATGAAGCAGTGAAAGTTTGAGAAGCAACATATTTTCTTGTGGAACCCTTCATATAAGAAGTGAATAACCCACCTAATGGCATAACAGCAAAGAAAATAATAGTAGCTAAAGCAACAAAGAACATGATGATTGAAACGGTTAATGCAGCTTTACTAACAACATCAATAGGATCATAAGCGAAAACGAAAATGATTGGACCTAAATTGATAGCAAGGATTAAAATCAAAAACCAGAAACGACGAGATAAATGTTGAGCACCAGCCCATTTTCTTGGAACGAAAAACCATTCACAAATAGTGGCTAAAATTTGAATAAATGTAGCTAAAGTACCAGCTAAAGCAGCAGAAGCCCATCTATAAGCTGGGACAGGAGGTTGATTCAACAATTGTTGATAATTCTTGGTGTATAAAGTTGGGGAGTTATAAGCCATATACATCCAGAAAATTGAACCATGGATAATCCAAATACGATTGAAATTTGTTAATAAATGGAACCAAGTTCTAATTTCTTTATAAGTTTTAAAGAAAACCATATCCCATGAAACTTCACCTAAACGAACATAACGTTCTTCAGGAGCTAAATCAACCAATCTTGAACCATCTTCAAAGACAATTTTAGCAATACCTTCTGGGTACCAGAATAATTGATTAACATCATCATAACCAATAACCTTGTTATGATCACGTTCACGTTTAACATAACGGCCATCAACAACTTCATAAACTTGAGATCTCAAGAAACGATAAAGTGGTGTAATAACTCTGTTTAGATAATCACCTTCTGGAACTGGTTCAACTCTTTGTTGACAAGCTGGAGATTCTAAATAATCAGAAGCACATTTATAGATAAAACATAAACATTCTGAAGTAAATCTAACTTGATTAGCTTCACCCCAAACTAATAAATAAAGTGCGATTTGACGAACACGTTCAATTGGAGATAAATTATTCATTCTAGCTTTCCATCTATAATCAGCAGCTTCTAATGAATTATCACCTTCTAAAGCATTCAAAGTATCTTCAGTGTTTTCACCACCTTCTTCAACAGCTTTTCTAGCCTTCTTTGATTTCTTTTTAGCTTTTCTAGCTTTTCTTGATAATTTACCTAAATTCATATTTCTAAATCCAACTTCATCATCAAGATCTAATTGAGCAGCAAAATACCATTTTTTATAATTTGCAGTATCACCACCAATATAATCAGCATGTAAAGATAATAAAGCTTGAGCTGGTGACATTCTTGAAGATCTTGAATCTAATAAAGTCATGAAATGATCGAAAACATTTCTCATAGAATCTCTTTGGAAACCAAATCTATTAGTTAAATCAATGAAAACATCTTCAATTTGTTCAATAGGAATTGGAGCTTGTTGATCAGCAGTCCAAGCTGGATAAGGTTCATTTGGTAAAGCAACGGCAATTGAACTTGGATCAAAAGCACCATTTGAACCATAAATTGGAGTTGAAGCACCAGATGATCTTGGACCACCATAACTCATTTGTGATGGAGTATATTGAGTACCATAATCATAACCTGGAGTACCTGGAGCATTTGGAGCACCATAACTAAAATCTGAAAAAGCTTCATTTTCACCACCTCTTGGTTGATCATAATAAGCATCTTGATTATAACCTTGATCATAAGCAGCACCAGTAGCTGGATCATAACCTTGAGAATAATAAGAAGCATCATTTTGAGGATCATAATATTCACCTTGGTTTAAACCTTCTTGTGAAGCATGGTAACCATCTTGATAATATGGACCTTGAGCATTTGGATCTTCATATTGATTATTATATTGATCCGGATATTGACCTTCAGCGTATTGCTGATTATACTGACCTTGTTGGTCGTAGTATTGGTTGTTATTATGTTCGTTGTTATACGACATCTATATTAACCAATGTTAGTATAATCCAATACTATAAGTTTTGAATATCCACAAGTATTAAAGATCAAAATTGAACAAAGAAAGAGAAAAGTATCAAATTCTCGTGTCTTTTTTTTTTTTGGACAATTTTTTGATCTGATCTAAAATTCCATCTTTTTAAACTTTCAAAATGCGAGAACGAAAAAATTGGAAATTTTGGTTTCATGAAAAAATGAAAAGCGCGTTTTCAAAAAACAATTTCGGCCACTTTCTCAATCCGGAAATTATTACCTCAAATAATTTTGCAAATTTGCGAAACTCTTGATAAATCCCAATTACCTCATTTGGAAACTTTTGCATAAAAAAGGCGATGCTATCAACTTTTCATACAAATCTGATCCACCGTGTAAAGCAGCATCCAAATTATCAAAAAACAAATCAAGGGATAAACAAACTGATGATATGGGTAATTTGAGGAAATAAACGCACTTGAATAACGAACCGCTCTGAAAAGTCTTCAAAAAATGGAATCTGTAGATCATGTTAGTGGATAGAAAATATAATTAATACTCACAATTTAAAACCAATCTTATCAATATATTCTTAAAACAGCTATTAAAGCGAATGTATAATCAAACTTGAATAATAATAAATTAACAATCTAGCAAATCTAATAAAACAACCACAGTATTAAAATAAAAAGAAACTTGATCTTCTATTTGATGTTCTTAAAATATTAACAAAAAATAAACAAAATGCAATATTCAGGAACCAGATCAAAGAATTTCAAATATCAAGTGAATGTTCTTTAACAACAAAAATTTCAAAAAAGCGAAAGTATGAAATAAATGAAACTTTCAAACAATGAGAACCAAAATTAATTCTCAGTTTATCTTTCCTTTCAAATGTGTTTCTTCAGTTTAATATATAAATCCCTTCTCTGATAAAAATAAACCAGATCAAAGAAAAACAAAAACAAAACCGAGACGTGATTAAACCCGTAATAAACAATGAATGAAATGAAATTAAATACCTATGTGTTTGAAGTATAAGCACCTTTTTGAAAGAATTCACTTGGTAAATTTGGAAAAACGGTTGATTGAATGGTAAAAAAAGATTTAAAAGAAGAATAAATTATGTTTATAAGGGTCGTCCTCTCAGATCTTTTGTAAGTCTGAGAGATTTATTTATGCAAAAATAATAAATTAAAATTTTAAAAAAAAAATTACCGGTCTCTACACGATTTTTTTGAGAGGACCTGAGACCCAAAGTTTTCAGAGTTTTTGCAGCGTTTTGGCTGACAAACAAGCGAAGCACGGACTACGGAAACGGATACTTACGAAAAACTAGAGTCTAGTCTTCCAGGCACGATTTTCACGTATCTACTATTTGTCGTTGATAGTAAATTCTTTTGATAACACTTAAAATAGATTTTTGTTTCTTTAAATTTAAAACTATAAAGTTAAATTTCAAATTTGTATAATGTTTCATCCAAATTAGTGAAAATGAGTATGTATTAAGTTATATATCTCCAATCTCCAATCTCGACATATAAAGTAGCAACCTTAAATATAACTGAGACTCGTCTCTCAGCTAGTTGAGCCTTGTGTACGTCTGCTTTCAAAAACGCGAATTTTATTTGAGCGTGGATTTGAGAGGAAGACGCGAAGAAGAAACTTATACATTTCTTTTGCGCAAAAAGCGTATAATGAAGTTTATGAAAAAATGCCAAATTCAGGGGATTTTTTCGCTAATTAGGAAAGCGTCAAATTGAGTCCCGACGCATGATGTGTCCCTGGCGACGTGTGAATCAAAAACAAAAAAAAAAAGTTTAATTTTCGTGAAAAGGCGATGCTATTTTTAGACAATTTTTGATTTGACGGTTGAGAAATGGGAATTTTATACTGAAACGAATCTGAAGCAAATTGCCTTAAACTACATAAAATTAGATACTAATGATGATGATGAGCTTATTAAAGAGTGAAAGAAGAAATGTGTAGTACTTTATACTTTATACGTTCAAGAGATACCGTTTTACTTTTCCTCGTCAAGTTTGGAACAACTCATCATGATTCTCGGTTTTACATGGTTTTTATGTGTGTATTAAATATCCGGATCTTCAAAATAAAAAACAAATGAGACTCATGATTCAATTCTCAGTTGAACTATACTAATAG